CTGAAACAGGCTCCAGGCTCTGAGCTGGCAGTCAGCACAGAGCCCGACGCGGGGCTCGAACCCACGAACCGCGAGATCATGACCTAAGCGAAAGTCGGACGCTTAACCGACTAAGCCACCCAGGCGCCCCGACCTCCCACCTATGTCTTAACCACTAGTTCCCGTCTTTTGTCACTCAGTGTTAGGAATTTCTCCTGCATCTTGCCCCAGCAATTACTTCTATCCATTTCATAAAGAAATTTGATTATAAATAATAACATCATGAAGGATTGCCTTAATCTATGCTGAACATTTATTTTGAGATAGAGAAAGAACATTTCCCCTGTGTCAGCAGGGGAGGGACAGAGAGAGGGAAAGAGAGAATCCCAAGCAGGCTCCATGCTTCAGCACAGATCCTGATGCGGGGCTTGATCTCACTACCCTAGGATCATGACTTGAGCTAAAATCCAGAGTCGGAGGCTCAAACCGATGGAGTCACCCAGGCACCCCAACTTATTGTATAACTGGAAGTTAGTACGTCTTAATCCCCTTCACCTATTTGCCCCCACCCATCTCCCTTCTGGCAACTACATTTGTTCTCTATATTTAAGAGTCTGGTTTTTAATTTGTATTTTAGATTCCACATATAAGTGAGATTATATGGTATCTCTGTCTGGCTCATTTCATTTAGCAACCTCTATGTCCATTTGTTTTGTTGGAAAAGGCAAGATTTCATTATTTTTTATGGCTGAGTAACAAATATCTCACTGTAAAATGAACTTTTTGTAAAAAATGAACTTGCACGGTGATTGTGTAGATTAAATGAGGTAGTATATGTAAAGCATCTTTATGAATGTTAGCTGCTGCTTTTTACAACATGAGTTTTTCTCTTTATAGGGAGTCTGAAGATACAGTATTACTGGTCCTCAAAGAAATCTACCGAACCCAGGGCGTCTTCCTTGATCAGCCTTTACAGTAAAAATCGACTATGTATGGCTACTTAATGTAAGTTTTTAAATGTCATGTATGCAGCATGGTTCCTACATATTAATGATGGGGAACAGTGTAGACTTGGGCTCTTTACAAATACACCTTCCTCTTGCCTGTCACCAAGATCTAGGTTATTACTCATTTTTAGAGGGGGCTCTGGTTAAAGTTCCTGGGGGAAAAGCACAATAGCCCTCTTAGAGAAAGGATAGTGTTTATTTACTTTTGCTGGTGATTTGGTCCAATAACACCTATCATTTTTAGGATCTGATCATCCTAATAGGATCTGATCATGGCAATAGTTAGAATTTTAATTATGAACAGCCCATCCTGAGATTTAAGTTACTCAGCCTTTTGGATGTGTAACAAGCAAGTTCATGTATCAGACTCTGGCATTCTGCCTGGTTGCTTCCAGCTGTGACTGCATCGTGACCTCTTTCCACTCTTCCTAGACGGACACTGAAGGATCCTTCCCCAGAAAATCCACCTGCTTGTTGCCGCGGTTTTCCTCTCCTCAGCCACGCCGTTTCCTGCATGTTGCCTGCCACTTACTACTGGGGTCTTTGGAAGATAATCCTTTTTGGAAATGAATGGAAAAGCAAAGGGCAGACCCTGTTGCTTTTTACCACTGGCTTCATATAAGCACTTGCCATTCTTCAGAGTAGGGCCTGTTTGCATCTTTAATTCTTCAGTGACAGGTGTACCCTTTATTGCTTATTCCTTGAGAGGGTAGAAAGTCTGTTTTGAGTTTGAATCATTTTGGCTTGGATAGACATTTTCTTAGGTTATCGCTTATCTTTAGAAAATGCTCTGGTTTGGAAACAGGCTCTGGAGATTCAGAAGGCATTTTGGGGTATGTGGTCTCATGGATGGTGTCTGCACTGGAAGGCTCCATGGGGGTGTAAAAGACTTGAGCAAATTCTTTGGAGTCCACTTTCCTTTCCTACAAGTACCGTGTAAAGGACCAAAATGTAGCTTAGAGTTACTGTTAAGTGTCCATAGCCGACAGTGGGTCAGAGGACTCATTGATGCTGTTCTTTGTTTTCACAGCTGTTGGCGTGCTCTCAGACACTAAAGTGGACAGCTTAGCTCTCACTAGGTGCATCTTTATAAAGCAAAGATGTTATGTATCCTAGACAAGTCCTTTTATACCATGTTTCAAATTAGGAGATTGTAGATGAAATCTGACTTAGTTTTCAGATAGTAAGTAGCTTCTTTCTTAAGTTGAGGGCAAAGTCATAAAGGCTGATGGACCTGGAAGCATACAGCCTTGACAGGCTGTTTTGGTAATAAATATCTTTCAGGAGTACATTTACAGTGAAGTAGAATTTGTGACAGGCAGCCACCATATCCACTTGGGTGAAGGTAGTATTGTGCGTCCTCTCTGAAAGCATTTTGTAAACGCCATTGCCTTCCTAGGAACCCAGCATCCAGAACGTGTATGAGAAGCCTCGTGGCACAGGCAGTGCTGGTTGGGCAGGTGGGTGTGGCCAGAGGGAAACGTTTATTATTCTGAAAGAAAAACCTGTGCCGGTAGGGGCCAAGGAACAGCTCTTGCAGTCAGCGTCAGAACACGCAAAGTGAGAGGTGCCTGGAGGATGACCTTTTCCAGGTACCTGCCCACCGCTGCGCTGTCTTGTCTTTCTCAGTGGTCACAGTTTGTCTTTGCAGTTTTCTTTGCGATAGTCCTTTACGCTCCTCACCGATTTCCATAGGCCTCTGTTTATAGAGTGGCACAGGCAGGCTCTCTGTGCTTTGTTTTCTTATAAAAGTTTTTTTTGCAAATGTATCATGGTATCCATTGCATCGGCCTGTGACATTCACTTAAGCCTTCCCTTCAAGTGCAACAGTCCTTGCCCCTTTCCAGAGAGAAAGAGGAAAAGGAAGTTAATCACTGTCACCCTAGAGATGGTAGAGGTGAGGCTGCAGTACGGGGTCAGTGCCGGGCCTTCCCTTGTCCATCTGCTTACAGCCTAATGCTGACTGACCGAGCCGCTCAGAAGCATCAGGTGTATGGAATACTTTTCTCTATAAACTGACTCTGAAGTAAGGGTTCTTGAGAGTTATGTAGCTTTAATTATATTTTAGAGGGGACGTTTTTGTCACATTGTCTTCAAATTTAAATTTATTCTTCATATTAGCAGAATAGATACTATTTAAGAGTAAACCAAAGGACAAGTAAGGAGGAGTCCCTGTAACCAAAGATGACCAGCATAGCCCCGGGATAGCTAGGCCGCCCCCCGGCCCCGCGCTTCCTGAGAAATGGTTCTTTCCTGATGGGGGCGGCAGCCGCACCTGAGCTTTAGGTCTTGTCGCCCCGCACCTGAGCTTTAGGTCTTGTCGCCCCACCTGTGGTAGCATCATGGCTGCGTGTCACACAGGATGAGAAGCTTGATTTAAACCCGTTAGTTGTGTATTATTTGCACTACTTCAGTCATATCATGTGCAGTCTCTTGACCAAGACTATTTTTAAATTGTAGAGTATCATTTTATACATATTCCCTGCTACAGAATTTGTATTGCTTATTTCAGCAAGAGATGGTCTGCATGGAAAAGATTAATAGCACTGATTAGCTTTCTAATATTTTGCACTTTTTGAAATGTTTGTTTTTTTACATGATTATATTTAGAAGTTTATGAAACACTGAAATAAAACCATATTGACCAGTTGCCTACTTTCACCTGGTTCATCCATTATATAGAAAATCAATACAATAACCATTTTCTCCCCATATATATTACTAAAGCAAATTTTAAAAATGTTTGGGCAAAGAACTAATATTTAAGTTCTTTTCCCTGGACTGGTGTTTTTGTTAGGCGGCTGTCGTGAAGCGTGGGGAGTACAAAGTAAATACGGAGACTGTTCTTCAGTAATACAGGTGTCAGCCTCTATTGCCAACAGTTGTGTCACTCATGTCAGACGGGGAATCCAGGGTTTTACTGTGGAAATGTTGTGGCTCTCAAGTGGTGTTAAGTACCTAAAACACCCACAGTAACCATTTTCTTTGAATATCGCATTTATTGAAGGAAAAAGATACACTGAATATGTAGAAAGAAGTATGTAAGCCAAGGTCATATTGGAAGTATGATCGGAAAGAAAAAGGTACTTGTAGGTCCTAGAGTGTCAGTTCTCATGACCTTCTGTAAAATTGCTCCTTAAATCCCATTATGAAGAAGGGACAGAAAAAGTTCATTTTTCCTCTAGAAAATGACATCCGTAATTTTTCTTTCCTGCCTTAGCCAGTTGGCAGAGTTGATGTCTTTGGACAGGTCTTTAATCGTGCGTGGACGGAAAGAAACTAGTGAGCCGAGTTTAGGAGTATGTTTCTGTACTAGCAGCTGATGGTGGCTTCCGCCTCACTTGTCCTTACCGTTTTTTAAAACTGTTTATTTTGTAATTCAATAAGTAATTTATGCCCTGGTAGTGCATGGTGCAAATGGACAGCAATATTTGACTAGACTCAGCTAAGATACATGTGTAGGAAGGTAAAATAGCCAGAATTGGACATTTTCCTATTTAAGGCTTGATGGAGTTCTCACTGGAGAAGGTAAACTAAAATAATTTAGTTGGTCATGCCCTGGACTTTGAGCTATGGAAATTCATCTCTAGCTTCTAGGATACTTAAAGGCTTCTGTGTAAGTTTTTTGTTTTGTTTTGTTTTAAATTTTAGAGTGTGCGTTGAGCAGGGGAGAGCGGGCAAAGGGAGAGATGCTTAAGCAGGCTCCATGCTCAGCCTGACGTGGGGCTCAGTCCCACAACCCTGAAATCATGACCTGAGCGAAAATCTGGTTGGACCCTCAACCAACTGAGCCACCCAGGCGGCCCTTGTAAAGGTTTCTTTGTGAAAGATCCTTCCAAGAATGGCATTTAAATGAGATGTAAAATGCTGTAGACAGTGGGATACCAGCTGGTGGACTACTGTATGGTCTTCTTACCAGAATGTGTGGCACAGAGCAGTGAAAAACAACCTTGAGCTTCAACTCCATGATAAATCCATGTGAGCCAAACTGCATAAACCTACGGAGGCAGAATGAAGTGCTGATGTCCTCACTCATACCTCATAAGAGGGCAGAAGTTCAAATTCTTGGGCAGTTATGAAGAGCTGATTCACCTAATCTCCACTGAGGAAGTTCCAACTTCTAAATACTAAAATGACCAGGATCACCAGGCTTCTGTGCAGCAGGAAGTACAAGTCTGTCCTGAAATGGTTTATGGCATTCTGTGTCAGTCAGCGGAGGATAATACTGCCTGTAGCAGACGTAGGCGAATGTCAGGCCAATCATGGATCCCACCAGTACATCTGAAAGAGAAGAGATAAGGTCTTCTCTTACTATGAGGTCTCTTATATTAGACTCGTAAATTGTGTTAAAACATCACGCCATGCTGGCATACTGATACCGCGGGTTCAATTCTATTTAAAAACAATTTTTTATTTTTATGAGAGAGAGAGGCAGAGCATGAGTATGTGAGGGAGCAGAGCGAGAGAGGGACACAGAATCCGAAGCAGGCTCCAGGCTCTGAGCTGTCCTTACAGAGCCTGACATGGGGCTCGAACCCACAAACTGTGAAATCATGACCTGAGCCAAAGTCAGACGCCTAGCTGAGCCACCCAGGCAACCCCAACAGGTTCAATGTTAGATCACTGCAGTAAAAGGATTATCTCAATAAAGCAAGTCATATGAATTTTTTGGTTTCCCAGTGCAAAATGAGTTATGCTAACACTGTGCCGTAGTCCATTAAGTGTGCAATATAGCATTACGTCTAAAAAAAAAAGTATATACCTTACTTAAAAAATACTTTATTGCTAAAAAATGCTAACCATCATCTGAGCTTTCAGCAAGTCATAATCACTGATCGCAGGGCACCATAACAAATACAGTAATAATGAAAAAATTTGAAATATTTAAGAATTCCCAAAACGAGACCAAGAAAACAAGAAGTGAGCAAATGCTGTGGAAAAATGGCGCCCACAGACCCGCTTAGCGCAGCATTGCCACCGACCTTCAGTTTGCACAAGATGTAATTATCTGTAAAGTGCAATAAAATGAGGTGCGTCTGTAGAGAGACCTTGGCCCTTCAACTTCCTCTGCTTGTTTGGGCTGCAAAAAAAATCTCAATTCCAGGTTTATGGCTTCTTTAGGCTTTCTCAGTTTTGTTACAGGAATAATAGGATTATCATCATCAGGTTCTTTTCTAAACCAAATCAAAACACATCTTTAGTTAAATAAGTGTAAATAAGCCTTTTTCCAAGTATACTTGATTAAATTTTTTTTTTTTTAAATATTTTTTTATTTATTTCTAGGGGAGAGAGAGAGACAGCGTGAGCAGGGGAGGGTCAGAGAGAGAGGGAGTCACAGACCGAAACAGGCTCCAGGCTCTGAGCTGGCAGCACAGAGCCCGACGCGGGGCTCGAACCCACGAACCGCGAGATCATGGCCCAAGCGAAAGTCGGACGCTTAACCGACTAAGCCACCCAGGGGCCCCCTAGATTAAATTTTTTAAAAATTCAGAATAACAAAGTTTCACTTAATGCTGTTAGCCCCTCTTTTTTTTTTTTAATGTTTTATTTATTTCTGAGAGAGGGAGGGAATTCTTTATTCTGAGAGAGGGAGGGAGAGACTTCGGGGAAATACTGTCAGGTTTTTTTTTTTTAATTAGGAGTTTTCTGTGAAGATATCCTATCATTTGGGTGTTTTACTATGTCATTCAACTTAAATTTCTTTGGTTTAACTACAATTTGATGTCTTGAATTTTACTTTAGTTTCTGAACAAAAACCTCATGACAGCAAACTTGATTGTTAAGACTCTAAGTAAATTGAGCTTTTGAGGTTTGTGGTAAAAAATTTCTTAAAGAAAGGTAAAAATTCTTAGTTCTGAACTTCTGATGCTTCAGAATAATGGGAAATTGAGGACTTTTCTCCTTAGAAGGAAACTGTGCTTTCCCATCCTCCATACAGCTGCATACACGTGCTCTTGGTTCAGAAACTGACCATCCCGTACTCCCTGGTTTTAATCGCTTAGCAGATACGTTCAGCGTCCCGTGTGCCAAGTGTTCGGTCGGGATCAAAGGGCAGGTGAAACGTGTGAGCTGCTGTGGCACGAAAACGTCGCTTACCTTGCCAGTGATGCTTATAGTCACAGGTGCGGGACAGGGCAATCACTGCTGCGAGGAGGAGAGGTGACAGAAAGGCACAGAACCTCCAAGACTTCCCACGGCCTTGTGGCGCGAAGCAGTGTAACTTCCCTGCCAGGTAGAAGGAAGCAAAGGCCAGACCAGCAAATGCAACTGGAAGAGGGAAAACCTATAAGTACGTGTCTTTTAAAGGAAACTCCGTCCCCCATCTGCACATAGGTGGCGAGGAGGCCTGCATGTTTTATCCTTGTTTGATACCCTTCTGGTATAGATCACTGATGATGGTGGAAGAGGAAACAAAAGGGAAAATGAAGGACTTTATTTTGTGTCCCAGAGTTAATAACATTTGTCCTGAGAATAGTTTATGGAATACTAACAACCGGGCAGGTTGTTCAACCTCTCAATGCCTTCGTTTCCTCACGTATAAGTGAGCATCATAAAAATAGTACTATTCACCTCATTGTGCTATTATGGTATCAGATGAGGCAAGAATCAAAAATGCTTTGCAAAGAACCTGACCCATAGTTGTCCTTCAGCAAAGGTTAGTTAATATTTATAACTAGTACAAGATCGCAGGATCTAGGCAAATACAATAATCCTAAAACGTCCCAAATCTCAGAAAGGTAAACCACTTCCTCTGTCCTCAGACATTTACCCTAATTTTTGAGGCTCAGGCTTGTGAAATCTTGGAGTTATTAAAGAACTGGGTAGGGTTCTCTAGTTTCTGGACAGAAGAACAAGACTAGTGAAAGGATCCCTCGGTTAAATTCAGTGACCCCCCCCTCCCAAAAGGCATACAAGTCCACGTGGTAATCGTACAGGAAGAATGTCCACTGGGGAAGCTCTTCCGGCCCTCATTCACCACGTCCTTGTCTCCTGTGCATGTCAAGTCAGAATGCGCCTGGCCGTCCGGGAAGCAGCGGTAGAAGAAGTCTGGGCGTGGCCTGGAAAAATAAGCATGATCTCAACACAGATCGCCTAACAGCCCAAGAAACTACTTTTTGGTTATTATCAGACATCCGTAATCCTGTTTCGGTCAAATGGTGTCCAAGCAAAATAATGGAAGTGGATTAGGACAGTCACCATTAAAAGAGAAGCATTATTTGCAGGGTCAGCATTTAAATTGGGGTGTGGGGTGGGGCCGGCGGGAGCCGCTCCAGCATGTGATGAATCTTTAGGGCAAAGAGCAAGTCACACTCCAGCTTCAGCATGTGCTCTAGAGGACATAGGCCCTGCTGCGCTGTTGGGGGAAATGCTGTTCAGGGCAGCGAGGGGCCCCAGTGTCACCTGCAGGACAACCACAGGGAACGCAGAAAAGCACGTAACAGGAGGAGGAGGAGAGGATGAGGAGAAAGACGGGTGGTGCGGCCACGAGCCACCTCCTGCTGGGGCGCAGGCCTGAGGCACCTGGCACCGACTCGGCTCACTCACCTGCCCACTATCAGTTTTATTGTGTTGGTAAAGACGCCGTTCAGAGCCAGGGCAAGGCTGGCAGCTGGAAAGCAAAGAAACTTACTGTTGGTGCTTTCTGCCTATGAGGCACGGTCACTGCCTTCTAAGAGAGCGGCCACATCTTTCGGAGACAGGATGGGTCAGGCTCCATCCAGAGCGGAGCGTGAAAATAATTCTAGCTCTTAAGGTGTCGCCGAGAGAGAACTTCCGGACTAGGCCGAAGGCGTTTCTGGGGTACACATTATCCAGTGCAGTTAGGCACTGCTAGGAGGTTAACTAGGTTCTTAGAGTGCTAGTTTTCGGTGTCATGGGTGACAGCACGGGTACAGGGGAGACAGGATGACTTTAGGAACACAGAGCTCGGTGGCCTCCACCCGCTGAGATCACACCTCCAGTGGCGGGAGCCCACAAGTCCTGCCTTCTCGTTCGAGCACCAAGGAGATAACCCAGCCAGAGACCGAGGGCTCATTCTTACCCAGACAGGCCTGTCTGCTGTCTGTCCTGTCTGCCTTCTCGAGACACCTGGCCAGGAGGATCAGAGATAGCGGGCAAAGAAATGCAATGACCTGAACCAGAACATGGCAGAGGTTAAAAAACCAATCTAAACCCCATGTAACACCCCACTAGTCGTTAAAGGAGCTCCTACAGGGCAGAGGGGTGGTAGGGACAGCAGAGCTCATGCGTCAGAGTTCACCGTTCGCGTTAACATAAGCAGCGCCAGTGTCTGCGGCAGCTCTACCAGCGCGTGGCACCGCGGTCACCCACTAAGCTCACAGAACATGGTCCTGGAGCCAAAACGGACATCTTGCTCTCCAAATGTGGATCAGAAGCAAACAATTTTTAGCACATCATCATGGTGGAGGCGGGGGGCGATAAGTTCCCCACGAAGATCACTTTGGAGCCAAAATGACCACCTCCTGCTTCCTGGCCTTAAGCTCAGTAGTAAGTACTAAGGGTCAGAAGGAAGGCTAGTTCTCCACGCACAAACATGGGCTTGGTAGGGAAATACTCTGCTTCCACATACGGATTCCGGTAAAGCCACATCTCCTCTGGTTGGATCAGCCGCTGGAAGGGAGGGAGGAGCTCTGTTACCCTAAAGGAGAAACAAAAATGTGCAGAGCCGGCCCCCGTGTTTGCTGGGACGGCAGCTGCCGGGGCTTCCCACCTCGACCCGCGGGCGGCGCTCGGGGAGCCCCAGGCCGAGGCGGGGACCGGCCGGCCGCCCCGTCTGGCGTGGGGTCCGATCTCAGGACGCTTACAGGAAGGCCGCGAACAGGGTGATCCGCACGCCCAGCTCGGCCCCGAGGGCCGCCGCCGCCGCCGCCGCCTTCCCCATCCTGCCGCTTGGCCCCGGACAGACGCTGCGCTGACGTGGCAGCCGCTGCGGCGGCGCCAGGCGCGCGCCCGCCCCCCCGGAGGCCGGGCCTCGGCTGCTCTGGGCTCTGGGCTCAGGCTGGCAGGCGCCGGGGCCACTGCGCGCGCGGAAGGCAGTCCCCGCCCCTGCCGGGCGGGTCGCGATCCCGGGAGCCGGAGGGGCGGCCCCGCGCCGTTGAGAGCAGCGCCTCGCAAAGGGAGTGAGGGGCAAAGCGGGGCCGTTCTAGGGCTCGTGGGCAGTGAGCTGGCAAGCGGGGCTCCGCCAGGCAGCACGTCTCCGTGGAGTCTGAGAAATCAACTGGATGAGAGGGATGCACACCTCCCCGTGGCGACCTTCGCCCACCAGGCGGTGCCTCGATATTCTACCGCGCCTAGCGAGCGGGGAGCGACCATCTCCAGGGACCTCCCGGCTGTGAAAACGAAACCAAATCCCACGTACTCGGCTCCAGGTTTATCCGCAGCGCAGTGGCGGGGGCATCCCGAAGGGCGCAGCGGTGCCGCGGCCTCACATCGTGGGTCACTCAGCCCCGCGCCCAGTCCCCTCCCTCCCATTGATACCCCTTGTCCAGCAGCTGTGGCAAGAAATGACAGGCAGTGAACAAGTCCGCAAGTTGATTTGGACCATACAGGACAATTTATTGAAGTCAATCTCAAGCAAAATCTGAAATCAGTGGAATGTCATTAAGAACCTTTCCAAATTAATCCTCACGGAAGCAAAAAACACATCTGAATTCCAAAGTAGTTGTAAAATAAAAAAAGGCAACATCTCAGTAAATATAATGTACAAAAATTTATGTTCCTACCAGCACACACAGTAGTAAGAAGCTTAAAATTACAGGCAATCCTAAATGTACTATAACTAGTCACCAGTAAGCTATCTATATACAGGTTAACCACGCTTTACACGTTTCACACTATGCAGTAAAACATAGGCCGATCAACAAAACCCCCAAAACATAGATCTTGAAGTCTATGTGGCAACATCAAGTCATTATACAGTAATGCCCTAGTGGAACACCCCCAGGGAAAATGAACACTACTCCCTTAGTGTCAAGAGCTGCTAGCCAAGTCACAGACACTCAAGAGAGGTCAACTTTAGTGAATATTGATGCTCTGTTATTAAAGACTCAAGTCTCAAGTGATTTAGGCAAAATAACATTTCACAGGATCTACAAAGTTTATTACAGATAAACAAAGTACAGAAATAACCAATCTACAAAGGTCATTATCATAGATAAAGATCACAAGAAAATGAAAACAGAATCTGTAGGTATCTGTGTTTGTTGTGCAATATCACAAGTGGTTACAAATGAATTTCTCATCCTAATTCCAATTGTGCACACACCCTTGTATATAAAAAGGATCTAATTATTAGCCGGTTGTAATCCTCATGTAGCATCTTGGTCACCTGAGGCAACATGATTTTCTTTTTTGACACAGGGTATGTGACAGCAAAATGAGAGAAAAGTAAAACAGTAAATTTCATCCAGTCCACTCCCAAACTGACAAGAAGACCTTACAAATACCTTATGTCGGGGATCTGCTGGCGGCCGAGAGCCACCCGCTTGCGTTGTAGGTCTGTCTCGGAGGTCTGTCGCAGGCAGGGAGAGGGCGCGCTCGCACCTTTTTGTGCCAATCCGCAGATGCAGAAGGTCACGTAAGAAAACTAGAGGCTGAATAAAAGACTGTGGCAACTCCCTTTTCATTAAACATAATGGCCTTGCACGGCTACTGAAGCACAGGTAGCTCTCCTCCTCCTCCCCCTTCATATGTACGTGCCACAAGCACCTGAACTTGTCACCTAAGCAATGGACTGACGAGAAAAGAACGGAAATGTTTTTTGGAACACACAGATCACACCCTGCATGTCAGGAGTGCGACGTAAGTGCAAATTTTTGTTTTTTCCCTACACAGGCATGGATCTTAAAAGGAAAGAAGAGGTGCATGGGGACAGGGTTGACAGGATGACAAAATAAAGAACACACATAGGAAATAGTCATAAAATGCTGCTGGTATTTCATGCAAGAGCCTCTCCCTCGAATGCGCACAGGAAATCGGAGACGGGTGCTGTGGGCGCGCTCTCCCGGCTCAGGACTTCGCCTTACATCCGCGGTAAAGAGAAGAGACTATAGGCGGTTTGCTTTCAAAACAGTACACAAAACAATGCCTTCTACTTCATAAATTTAAAAATAACTGTAAAATAAGGGGAATCTGAAGAGTTTCAAGTACTTAAGAAACCTGAATTCAATGAGGCAGAGGCCTCAATGTTAAAGTGACTGCTTCGTACCTGCAGTAAACATGATCAGTCCCCGCCCTCACCCTAGTCCATCCCCTTTCTCTCCCCGTCCCTGCCCCGGGTAAAAGTCGCTAGATTTCAGTATATACAAATTTTCAACTTCTCAGCATTTGTTAATACATGGCAAAGCTGTCTAATTATATCCATCCCCCAGCTCATCTGACACTGGAAGGGAGTTCTACAGGTGACCCGGTGACAGGTAACCGGGGACCAATTCTAGGTGGCCCCGGGCTAAAGGAAATCACTTCACGTCTGCAACAACACGGCCGAATGACTCGGGGGTGGCCAGATGCATCAGCCTTGGAAGAAGGAAGTGGAATCTGCGTGGCCCAGCGACAAAGCAACTCCCCAGGGTCATTGTACCTCACGTAGAAGTACGTCAAATGCGAGCTTCCCGAGCCACCAGGCCTCCTGAGTCTGTCGGCCGCGGCGTGTGGCAGCACCGTGACATTAAGGTGAATGCTAAAGGAACAGCCCGGGACTTAAAATGAAGTGAAGGATGAGCCACGAATCCCAGGCAGTCCACAGACTCCTCCCTGCACAGCGGGCCTCCCTCCACACTGCAGGTCTGGGTCCGGCCCCGACCGGAACACAAACCACACAACTGGTCCAAAAGGAAACTCCTTCATCATGAACCACGAAAGAAACGTCTCCAACAGCCTGCCCTGTCTGAGAGTCCTTTACATGATTATCTCGGAATTTCAAGCCATTATTCACAAGCACGTTTCCAAATACTCTGTGAAAATGGCACATGGGAGCTGGAAGCAGCCACCCCCCATTATTATTATTTTTTTTTAAGACATGTTCCAGACTTGAACACACAGATAGCTCCAAGTTGCAATGATTCTAAAAGTCAGCCTATTCTATAGCTTCAGCCAGATCACTTCTGAGAATTAAGGTGGAGCAGGAACTTGGTAAAATAAAAATGAAAATAAAGCCCACCTCCCTCCTGACTCTCTCACCCTGATTAGATACAACGGAGTGAATCACTTCCTCCAGCTGCTTTGGCCTTCCAGGAATGAAGGGTCGGCCACCCCCTCTCAGCTCCGGGCAGCCCTCCTGACTCCCGTGTGACCGTGGTCCCGCCCCTTTCTGCACTGCACATGCCAGGAGGGCTTCCAGGATTTCCTCTGTAGTTATTACATCTGATTTCTGAAGCTTTATGCTGATGACCAAAAGTTTTACGTTCACTTCTTCTTCCAAAGAATTAACATGAGGCTAAAAAAAGATACCACCATTATCCCATGCTGTCATAAGTTATCTCATTTGTGGACAAGAATGAAAACCAACAGTCTATGCTCTGACCACACACACAGATTTAAAAGTGAGCAAATACCAAATTCTGACTGAGAGTGCGACTGTCTTTTGGAATATCTCACTGGCGGGGCACAGCGAGCACAGCGCTCTCCCTCTCTGCTTCCGTAGCTCAGAAATACATAAAAGGTCAGTGGAGACAGCACGGAGGTGTGAGGGGGGCTCCTTGGCACTGGTGGGACTGAAGCCGCTTCTCGGACCCTTAAAGAGCAGTCAAAGACTTCAGGGCTACTTTGTTTTTTACTGATTTCTGAAATGGCAGAACAATCCTATTAGGTACCCCCCTCCCAAACGATAAAAATCTCAGCAGAGCTGTTACAGATACTTGAACCAAATATGACACAATGAAGAAGCTGCAGGAAAATACTTACACCTAAGGTACGTGCAGTGCGGAGGGTGTGCCCTGGCTCACCGTGTAAAAGTCCTCAGATTTTACATAGCACTGAGTCCAAAACAAAGCAAGGAGAGAAGATTTCATGTTGGATACTGTTTCAACAAGTATCGAATATAATATTTTGAATGTTAAAAGAAATCCTTCATGTTAGTTTAAAAAAGCAAACATTTATCATATACACAGACACATATACATGTATGTATATATATATACATACACACACACAAAGTTTTAGTATGATAAAACCTAGATTTTCTTAAATTATTTTTTAAAAGCATATCAAACTATATAATTGATCAAGAGCAAAGTTTAGTGTTTTGGTGAAGCTGTACTTCGTGTTACTCATAGCAATTATATTTGGTAACATGTACAGCATTTTCCATTTCGCTCTTTCTTCTGGGACCGTATCTGATCAATAGAATTACTGGAGGCCCAAGAAGTCACTTCAGAATTAATTGCATTCTGGAATCAGGCAAATGGCAGTTTAGGAGCTTAGGTAAAGGAACTGTAGTGTGGTTTTTGTTTTGTTTTTTACAAGAGAAAATCCAGTACAATTACACATTTACATTTAAAAAAAGAGAGAGAGGCACAAAACAGCGTTTTTTTTTTCTTTTTTTCCAGAGAAGAACTCTAACTTGACAAGAAGGAAGGAACGCACATGACACAACTGAAGGAATGTGGCCGGGCATCTACCCTCCCAACCTTCACAAGGTTCCTAGAAACTTCTTGAGGGAAAATAAATGCTCCCAAGTACCAGCAAGTGTAAGCAGTCAAAATCCACAGAGAAAGTTATAGTTCATTCAAGCTAGCCCTAGACTTCTACTTAGCACAGCGTTACAACAATGTCTGACAGGACTAATTACTTCATAGCAGGAATACTGGAATCTACATGTTCCTAGGCATTGAATGCAACTGAGTTTTGCGGATGGACATCTTGGTACACTTGCAACTGTGAGATCCAAGCATCGCAACCAACAGATTTTGCTAATGCTGCTTTCTCGGGAGCTTCCCTAAGTGCTTCCCACAGTGAAGTGTGTTTGTGTGACTCTTGCCTACCCTGGAGAAGCACCTCACTTCCTCAATGGGGGCAATGTTGGTTACTAGATAATACTAAATAGAAATTGTTTACACAGAACTTGGGGCTGCCCCTTCCCCTTCTGCCCCCCCCAAATTAGGAACTAAACCAAAAAACCTACACAGCTACAACTCAGATTCATTTGTGTAGTTTCCACTAGGAAACGCGGCTGAGCGGCCGGCCAGCTGACAAAGGGAATATGTGACTGGGAAAAGGAAGCAGAGACAGGAGAGAAAAAGCCCTTAATTCTCTCCAAGCTGCACGAGGGGGCTCCACTACACTGAACAGAAAATGGTGCTTGTATGATCCAGCGTTTGGTCTGGGCCTCATTAGCTGCCTTTGTCAGTGTGTCAGGATGGGGGGTGGGGGTGGGGTGACCACTCTAATGATGCCTTCACGTCCACATAAACACACTTCATCAAAAATGTCTGCGTTCAATGGAAAACATTTCCAACTCAGAGAGCGCACCCCCTTCCAGTTTTCTCCAAAACCCAAAACCACATGACACACCTTTCTAGATATTTATCACCTCGTAAAGCCCACCTAGGTTAAGACCAGAGAGGTAAATCCACTGAGGCATTCTGTTTTCAAGAGGCCAGATTCGGTACTCCCATAAAGCCCTTCTCTGAGACTATGAAAGACATTTTGAAGGGAAAAAGAAGTCAGCCTCCCTACTGCTCAGCAAAGAGGTATTTGAAGATCATCAGAGCCTTTCCCAGAGGGCCTGCTCCAGCTCCTACGTGAGACACACACGTACACTGAATGGACTACCAGAACTATATTTCTCAAGATTAAAAAAAATAATAAATAAAGGAATGATGACTACTTTTGCTTTTTACACCCAAGGAACACATCCTAGGCTTTAAATTTATCTCATTGACAAACTTTCTCTTCCCAAAGCAAAGACATCTCTTTTTCCAGCTGCAAAGGCATTGAAGCACAATAAAAGGCAAGAAAAGACCAAGGGAATCTGGCCCGCACAGAAGAGGCCGAAAGCCGACAAACCCGAAACAGGCACCACCAAGTGCTCCCGCCCGCACCACCGCTCCCCATCGCACTTGAGTAAGGCAGCGCTGACGGCCTTGGTGCTAACCGCGGCCCAATCCTCTTCCACAATCGTCACCGATTCCCCTTTTTTTCTTTTCCTTTTTGTTATGTCAATAAAAAGAAAAAAATAAGAAATCACCACCCATTTATTCTTTCAGGTCTTCTCCATGATCCTGTGATTCCAATTTGCATTTGATCTTGCTCCAGTACTCGGCAGACACGGGCGATTGGGGGTCGTGCTCGGAGCAGCAGAGTCGGCCCTCCAGGGCCGAGGGAACCAGCGCCCCCTCTCGGTGGTCTTTACAGAACGAGCGTGGGCAGAACTCACAGAAGGAGACGGCGGCGCTGCCGCACTCCCCGCACTGGTGCCACGGACACTCCCACTTTCCTAGTGAGGGGCGGGGACAGGAAAAATCATCAGTGTCTGCCTAGATGACCAGTGAAAGATCTCCGTTCCCACCGTCTGTCCTGACTGGAGACTGAGTTCACCTGAGCACCACTCCAGACTTTAGCCAAACTTACGAGTGGAGTGGGTGCACCGCTGAGCACTGAGGCGTGCTGCCCCCCCCCCCCCCAACTTAACGCAGCAGGAGCGACTGCTCACCCAGGGTAACGGGGACTCAGAGACCAGCCCCACCGGCCCACGCCCACACCCTATTTGCAGGGGCATATTTTTCATAAGCATGCTTTGTGTCTGCCACTGTTGGCTGTTCTATTCAATCTCATCCATTCCACGGCTCCACTCAGGAGAGTGAAGTACCTCCTCGGTCCCCCGCGAGTCAGGGACAGGGTCTCAGGAGTCTAGCTTACCATATGGTGGCTGACTCAGGTTAAGGCATAAGAGGTGGTATGCTTTGGGACAGTCCTTTTTGTCACACATGACCAGCTCTCCACCATCTCCACACTGAAAACAGTAATCTTCATGCATCTGCTTTGGTTCTGCTTTGATTTTTCGCCTCTTCTGCTTTAACTTAGCATTTCTGGCCTTCTCTTCAGCGGTTGATGCACACGTCGGCTGGTAGGGAGAACGACCACAGTCACGGTGCGGGAAACTTCACACAGAACAGGAACTCCCACCACCCCACGTTCATTTAAGCGCTTTTAAATTCAGTTGTTCAATGACCTAAAAACCACTGGGAAGACTTACCCCATAACAGTATGAACATAAAAATATGGCTTCATTTTCACTACTTTTGAATAACGTGCTTTGTTTTTTAAATTGCAAGGATACTGAGACATAATTCATATACCATAGAATGGATCTTTTTTTTTTTTTTTTTGTCTATTTTTGAGAGAGAGCGAGTAAGCAGAGGAGGGGCAGACAGACAGAGGGACAGAGGATCTGAAGTGGGCTCTGAGCTGACAGCTGATACAGGGCTTGAACTCACAAACTGTGAGATCATGACCAGAGCTGAAGTCAGACACTTAACCGACTGAGCCACTCAGGCGCCCCAGAATACACCATTTTAAAGTGCCTCACTCAGTGGTTTTAAGTATGATGTGAATTTTTAAAAAGTTTTGAAAACGATATGGGTAACTTCAAGTACAATCAGAAATACAAACACATTTTCAGAACCTGACAGATCTTACTAGGATATGCCTCGTTAGAGAGTCTAAACTCTGGTTACCACAACAACGGTCCCTTGAACTAATCCAGGCACTCATTTGCCAGCATTTTCCTGAGATGGTCATATACTTCTCGAGCAGCCCCACTCCTCATTTCCCGCTGGCTTGGGGTGCTCGCTCCCCGCACGACTGACCTTCGGCCGCACTCCCAGAAAGCCGCTACAGTTCTCCGCTCCGCAGTGGCACTCTGTCCTGCCGTTGCCCAGACAATCCAGGTTATAATTAAATGTTAACTCCATCCCTAAAACAAGAGAAATAATTATTCATACTCAAGTCATGGGGAGGAGAAATGCTGCCACAGACATGCTCAAGAGAGCTATAACTCTGACATGAAGGCTTTTCCCTCACCCGCGTGTGTTCCACAGAAGATAGTGATGGGGAAAAACGATAGCGGAAAACACCCCCATCCACCAGTGATGACGGCAAAAACAGTCTATAGAAGTTGTCATATCCTTTGCATTGAAGTGGTCAAAATCCATGTAACAGAGACTAAGAATCTGAAATCTGTGCTCAAGACAAATAGGTTCTGGTTCGGCTGCTTTCCTAAAGCTAATTTACACCAATTTCTGAATGAATAATAGGACCTTGGAATCATGGCGACCACACCATCTCCGGTGATTAATGCTTTGGGTTATGATCAGAAAAGAGTTCACCGTGAAGATTTACTATTCACACCAAAGACCCAGGAATTCGAACTGGGAGGTCCAAGCTTTCTCTTAGCTGGTCTTGACGAGCCCACGAGTTCCAGGAATGCCTTTAGTCTCTTCTAGCTACAGCTCTTCTCTTCTCACCCATTTTCCTACAAACCCGGCAGAGAAGAAACTAAGTTCTGCTGTTAAGATGGCTGGGTGGGCAAGGAAAAATGAAGCAGCAGGCTTCAGAAGCTTTTTACGTCTACTCTGAAACAGACCATCTTCCAACTAAAAAACAAACACCCCTCCCACCCCTTCCACCACCAAACAAGCCCAGACGTCAGTTGAAGTTAACATAGTATGTTAATACTTTGAAAAAGAAAACAAAAGCTTAAGCGTCTGGTTATACTGCACAGATGGCAAGAACTGGAAGTAATTCAGTAGGGTCATGGACCCAGAGAATTCTGTGACAGCCTCTCTGACAGAAAGGCTCTTGCTCAATTCCCTTTTGCAGGACACAGATTTTCACTTCTTAATGGCAGATAATAATTTCAAAGAGAATTCTATCTTATTAGAATAAATCCTTGAGCCTCAAACCCTGAAGGATGTCCTGCCCAGGGAGGGGGGCATGGGGAGTAAAGCTGGTTTTTTACCTGCAGGAATATCACAAAGCGCGAAAAGTCCAACTCGAACATCTCCATTTACTGTCCACTTTTGTGTTTCACAGTTTGGATTACAACTGTGGTTCATAAAGCGAGAATAGTTTCCTTTGGGGCCAGCATCAATTATACGGTCCTTCAGAAAGAAAAGAAATGAAAGGTGCCTTTAACATAAAAGCTAAGTACAAGCCTCTCTAAGAAACAGCCAACTTGGCCAAGAGCCACAGAGGGCAGCCTTTTGCCACCAGCCGATGGCTGACAAGTCCAACATCGTGTGCTCTCTGGGCCGTTGACTAAGTTCTTGACTTTACTTGATGACCTTCAAGTCAAAGCATTTAAGATAAATTAGAATTTAATTTTTTTTTTAAGTTTATTTCTAGACACAGACCACAGAATAATGCTATGCAGAAGATACGCTGGCCACAGGCTGAGGAAGGGCATTCTGTGATGCCAGAGCATGGAGATGGGTGAGCCGTGTGGGGGTGGGAACTACGGTTTTCTGCTGTCAGCCCCCGTTTCCTGCTCTGCTCAAGCAGTGAAACCACTATGGGGGCAAATGGAGAAGAGCGTAGGCCACAGAGAGGGAAGGAGGAAAAATGAAAGACTTGGTGTCTGAATGTAGACTTTTGAGATTTGATCGATGGAAGGGCTGTCATGTGGGATATACTCTTTAGTATTTATCTGTTCCTTCTGTTTTACTAACACTGACGTTCAGAATACAGTCAAAAGCTCAACATTCTGGCTCCTGAATTTGAACTCTGATAATCTGTCTAAACTTTGGAGGACGGGGCCTCCCCAGCATTGTCAAGATGGCTGGAGGGTCCCTGCCGGTGAGGGGAGGATGTGAAGGGCTACTCAGCAATCAGAAATAAACGGCGTTTTATGTTTATGAAAGTTGTAAAACTGTCAAACGATGACCTATCAGCTAACATAAGCTTTTTAACAAAAATTTTTTTAAGTTTATTTATTTTGAGAGAGACAGAGACAGTGTGAGTGGTGGAGAGAGAGAGGAGGCAGAGACAGAGAGAATCACAAGCAGACTTTGCACTGTCTGCGCAGAACCCGACCTGGGGTTTGAACTCACAAACCACGGGATCACAACCTGAGCCGAAACCAAAAGTCGGAAGCTTAACCGACTGAGCCACCCAGGTGCCCCTAGAATAAGCTTCCTCTTAGTGATTTCTAGTTCTGACTTTTAATGGTATTCTCTTGGTTTCAGGGATAGCCTAGAACACCAGAAACATGGGTACTAGTCTTTGCTCTTCACTCAACAGATCACTTGTCAAGGCTAGACCTCAGTTTCTCGTCCCTGCATGGCAGAGGGCTGCTGCAGACGTGAGGCGAGGACCGGACAGAACTTGCAGCAAAGGCGGCTTACAATCGCATGGATTAAACTGGCAGTTTTCCTGTCACCCTGCTTATGGCTGCATTCATTTGTCCTAACTCAGACATGAAGTTTCAGTACACAGAACAATTCGGAGTTAAAATTTTGGCTAAATCAGAACTTTAACCGTGCTCTAGAACTCAGCAGGACAGAGCTGACGGTCTCTGTCAGTGATGGAGAAACTGAGGGCTGGGTCCTTCCATGACCAGAAGAGCTGGGACCGATGGCCACGTATGTCTGCCCTGTCATGCAAGGCTCCACTAAGCAGCCACGGTGCGCACTGACGTAAGTAGCACACTGTGGTTGGTAGCATACTGGCTACTGCAAACCATTCTAATTCTCCTGGAAAAAAAATCAAATTAGAGGAAACGGACTTCAACCTAAGACCACGAAACAAAAACCAAGAATCCTTTTTTCTTACAAAAAAAAAGCAATTTTACCTTGGTAACAGTTAACATATAAAAATTAGTTACACTGTTCTCGTGGGCTCGCTTGATTCGCAATCTGCACTCTTCTTCATCAATTAATTCGCCAACATATTCATTTACAAATTCACCCTGCAGAGAAGCACGTAACAAGTAAGTGTAAAGCCAGTGTGTTCTATTTGAAAGCATTCTTTAACCCCGTATGTGTAATCTGAGAGAAGTAACCAGAAAGACTGCTGGAAGTACAACTGTAATCTTATAAACAAGTGGTAGTTGTCATTCATTGGCATTCAGGTGGCACCTTTGCTTACATACTGCGTATATTTTCTCCATATGTGAACTCTTTTTATAAGAAAACACAATTCCTTACCATCTTTGTTGCATATATTTTACCATATCTGTCTAGTTCCTTCTTTTTATCCTATTCTATTCTGTTCTAATTGACATTATTTCTAACTTAAGATGTTTGGCAGATTGACCAATGGAACCATCTGAGCTTAAAGTTTTCTTTGTTGGAAGGTGTTTTTTTTTAATGTTTGCTTATTTTTGAGAGAGAGAGAGAGACAGCGAAAGCGAGCATGAAAGAGTGAGACACAGAACTCGAAACAGGTTCCAGGCAGTGAACCGTCAGCACAGAGCCTGACACAGGGCTCAAACCTACGAACTGTGAGATCATGACCCTAGCTAAAGTGGGATGCTTAACTGACTGAGCCACCCAGGCGCCCCTGTTAGGTGTTTAATGATGGTTTCAATTTCTTTAATAGTTTATAGAACTATTCATATTTTCTATTTATTTTTGTGGGAGTTGTGGTAATTACACTTTTTAAAGAATCCATTCATGTAAATTTTCAAATCTGTTGGCAAAAATGTAGTGATACTTATTTTTTTTGTGAGTTCGGGCCTCATGCTGGATGTAGAGATTACTTAAAAATATAAAACCTTTAAAAAAAAACACTCAAAAAACACCCATTAACTGTGAATTCAATTGTGAATAAAAATAACCAAGTGAGAACTTTAAAAGTGCTAGAAATCTGTCCTTAAAGACTACAGCAAAAAGGTGAGGTGTAATTCAGTTTTCAATATATATTTTCTTAATTTTGTAGATAGAAATCACCTTGTGACAGGAAGTCCCTCGTTTGGCTCTGGCCCACATTTGCAGGGATCTGTTACGTGTGAAAGACGGGCTGTGTACAATCAAATTCCATATTCGGCCTTTGTCCCTCAATGTACCAAAAATCTTTTCCATGTTGCTACTAAGTCTTTATGATTTTGCTTTTCAGGGATGTGTACTTCCAGCTATTTTGTAAAAGAGCAATTGTCTTACACAATTCCTAAAGTGCTACTGGGCATAATAATCCTGACTGTATTTTCTTTTCTCTTGATTATATCAATTTAATGTATTAGAATACACTTTAAAATAAATGCAACTACTATTAAAAGATGTTAGGGACGCCTGGGTGGGCCAGTTCATTAAGCATCTGACTTCGGCTTAGGGCATGACATCACGGCTCGTGAGTTCAAACCCCACATAGGGCTCTTTGCTTTCAGTGGAGAGCCTGCCTGGGATCCTCTGTCTCCCTCTCTCTGCCCCTCCTCCCACCTCTCAAAAATAAATAAATAAACATTAAAAATTAATAAAAGATGTTAACATGATATTAAACTGGATACATTTCAGGAGAGCCCCTAAACCTCCCCTGAAGTCATAGGCAAAATTTGTATATATGATATGCATGGCATCGAAGTAACATCAAAAACTTTGCATTCTAGGAGCACCTGGCTGGCTCTTCAGTCAGAAGAGCATGTGACTCTTGATCTTGGGGTCATGAGTTTAAGCCTCATGTTGGGTGTAGAGATTTTTTAAAAAATAAAGTTTTGCATTCTATAATGACATTTTAAATGTCGATGACATTTGGCCAAGCAATCCAATCCATACATTTGATGCATCAGTGAAAATCCTGTTGGCTCTGCCTTCAAAATGTCAGCATCTACCCGCTTCTCTCGTGCTCACTACAAGCCTAGCAGTCCATGGCGCCGCCCTCTCTCTCCTGGGCAATAACGGTCTCGTCTCTGTTAGTCCTTCCACGTGATCATACATTTCACGGGCTACAGCCAGAGTTATTCTTCGGAAACACAAGGGTGGCACACACAGATGCGTAAGGTGGCCTCCACGATGCCTGTCTCCCAGCGCTCATGCCTGTGGTGTGATTCTCTCTCCTTGAGTGAGCAGGACCCACAACTTGCTTCTAACCAACAGAATACGGCAAAGATGACAGAATGTATGTGATTCTGGGAGTTTGTTATATCAGGACTTCAGCATCCTTCTTGCTGGAGTGTCTCTGTCCCTTGTTGGCTGTGAGGAAGCAAATAGCCATGTCGGGAAACCTCATTTGGCAAGGAATGGTGGGCAGCCTCTAGAGACTAATAGCAGCAAAACAACAAGAACAACAACCCGAAACAAAAACCGCCTGAAGCTCTCAGACCTACAGCTGCAAAGAGCAGAACAACAGCCAACAACATGTGCCAACAGCCATGCAAGCAGCACAGTACATCCTTCTCTAGTTGAGGCACAAGAATGGGAGCCCAGTCCTGGGAGGCGTCTTGACTGAAACCCTGTGAGACCCTAAGCAGAGGACCCAGTCAAGCACTGCCCAACTCCTGACCCCAGGCGAGCTGTGAGAAAATAAAATGTGTGTGACATCATAAGTTCCCAATGCAGTATTATTGTTAGGCAGCAACAGAAAATGAATACATCCCTTGAGATCAAGTCACTTCCCACTAACGACTTCCAGGAGTCTCCCTCCTGTGGTCTCTAAGGTCCCATAAGATCTGGCCCCGGGCTACCTCCTCTCCCATCTCCTACCTGCGCCCCTTCTCCTCTCCTGCAGGTGCACTAGCTCTCCTGCCGGCCCTGGAGCAGGCTAAGGCCTCTGTCTTTGCTCTTTCTTCAGTCTGAAATGCATGGCTTTTCTCCTCATTCTTCAGGTCAAATGGCACTCCTCAGCCTTCCTTAACCAAGTAATTTAAAATAACAATTCCTATCACCAGCCATCCCCTTCGACAGCATTATTTTTCTTTGTAGCATTTTAGTGGTACTTAGCATTACATATCTGTTTATTACCTGTCTCTAGCAGGTGTCTTGTTCACTACTATTTTTCCAAATGCCTAGAGTAGTACCTGGCACACAGAAGAAGCTTCACAAACATGTGCTTAGTGAATGAGTTTCACTTCAAGTGACCTAACCTATAGAAATGGGTGCATGAAGGCAGATGATCGAGAATGTTCGTTACAGAATTAAATATACATATATATAAATTTATTGGAAAATAGGCTAAATAAGCTATGGTACATTTTAGTATAGAATACAATGGGAATGTTAAAAAAGAATGAGGAGAAATCTATATGGGTTGTCAGTAAGGGGTATTTATGATATATTAACTGGGATAAAATAAAATGTACGATATTTGCTTTTAAAAACCCTATAAGTATAGAATATAGGACTCTGCATTTGTATACATAAAAGGCTACATGACAACCTATTAACAATGGTCATCTCTGGTAAGGAGACAAGGAGTTGACAAGATGAAGGAATTTCACTCTTCTCTTTTTTGTATTGTTTGATTCTCTTTCCTACAGTGCTTTTTACTTACAAAGCTTATTTTTTTTTACAGGTAGAAAAATATCAAGAGTAATTTTAATTCCCACTATGTCCACCCCTCTCAGTGTGAGTCTCCCTGCACACTCGCTACTGGCTCTGGGCAAGCAGCGGGAGGGGTGGAAGTGAGGCCCAGCCAGGGGCCTTGTTTGAAAACGCACACTATTCAGGCTTGTCCCTAGATATTTCAGTAGAACACTGTTTTTGATTAGGATTTGCTGGTGATTTTTATTCTCGAGTTATTTGCATTTAAAAATTTTTCTTCAAAGAGACTGCTTGGAAAAAGTGCCTCAAAGTATAAAAATGAAGATATTTTATTAAGGTTTATTTGTTTTGAGAGAGAGAGAGTGTGTGTGTGTGTGTGTGCACGAGCAGAGAAGGGTCAGAGAGAGCAGGAGAGAGAAAGAATCCCAAGCAGGTTCTGCACTGTCAGGGTGGAGCCCAACTCACGGCTTGAACCCATGAACCAAATCATGAGATTATGTCCTCAGATGAAATCAAGAGTCAGATGCTTAACGAACTGAGCCACCCAGGCACCCCAAGAATGAAGATAATTTATAGGAGTTAAAGATCTCAACTTCTGTCAGTTGCTTTTGCACATATGATCTAACTTGAGACTGGCAACAACCCTTTTAAGTGTGTAGGGCAAGGATTATGATACATACACTCAAGAGCAGAGGAAACTGAGGCTCAAGGAGGTTAGTGGCTTGGCCACATCCTCACGGCCAAGGAATTGTGACATTGGCGCAAAGTCTTGGGTTTGCTAGTTTCCATCCCAGTAATATTCTGACCTTTATACTCTTTTGACTTTACTAAGCCTTTTACATCTCTTTTGCTTAACAAGTCAAAAATATTTCAAATAGAAAATGACCAATGGGGGGCGTCTGGGTGGCTCAGTCTGGCTCTTGATCTTGGCTCAAGTCATGATCTCATTGTTATGAGATTGAGCCCTGTGTCAGGCTCGATGCTGAGTGTGGACCCTACCTGGGATATTCATTCTCATTCCCCCGCCCTCTCTCTCTCAAAATAAACTTTAAAAAAAAAAAAAAAAAAAAAAAAAGGAAATGACCAATGTCCCTTTCTCCTTTTTATGACTGATCATAGGACATCCAAAGTGTATGTGCATTTTATTACTACCTCTTCCTACCACTTCTGCTCTGCTCAAGACATGCCAACTCTCAACTTGAAAGTTTCAAAATGTTGCCCAAAATCCCTATGTATTTCATCCCTAGGAGGAGATGAAGCATCTTCTGAGAGGCGTAGGCCCTGGTCTGTCCCACCACCCCCATGGCCCCTGTCCCACGCTACCTTCTTAATGCTCCTTTTGGTCCTGAGGCCCCAGCCTCTCCGCTCTGTCTTGATGACCTCTGCATCAGGGTAGAGCCTCTTTGTAAAGCACTGGTTCTGGCACCGCTCTCCGGCTGGGCACACCTGCGGGTGGCACTCGTACTGCAGCATCCTGTTCAGGCACTCCGACTCCAGGCCGCACGGGTTCTCATCAGCCGGCTTGCAGTTGCAGCGGGGGATCTCTGACAGGTCTGCGACATGGATCTGCACCTTTCCTATTACTTTGTTAGCCTGGAAAACCAAGTCATGGATGAGAGGGAGGAATCTGAGCAGGAACATCAGACACATCCATGAAATTCTTGGCTTTGCTACAGTGGTGTGATTCTGAGAAAGGCTCTTCATATGTCTTGGTTTCACTTTCCTCATGAATAACCTATGAATAAGCTAAGAAGAAAATGGCCTCTCCACAGAGGACAAAAATATCAAAATCTGATGTGAATTCGCACTTACTTTTCGTGTGTATTTCTTCTACTAGTTGATGGGAATTTATAACTAGAAATAACTGTGGGCTTTCTGGAATTTTTAAAGGAGGTAAATGCCTTATCCCCTCACTTGCTGCAGGACAGCCTGGTAGGGTGATAACAGGGCTCCACAGGGAGCATGCCGCTCGCAGGTGTGAGAGGGCTTTACCAAGACTCCTTCTCACAGCACAGTAGCTCTGGCTCCCACTTATGCTTCCAACAAAAGCTCTCAGTCTGCTTTACAGAAGACTGGGCGATACTCAGCAAAAGTTTTCATAAGTCACAAAGGGCCTTCTAATCACTGAGGGCGATGCATTTCCTCTTGCCTGTCAAATATGCCAATGGTTCACTGGTAAAGACTCACTTTGATGTGTTTGTAAGGAGGAGGTTTTCTTGAGTTTTTTTCAACCTCTAGCGCTTCTTTGCTTTCTCTTTGTGCTTTCAATTCCTGGAAACGTTTTGCAGCTTCTTCCAGTGCTGCCAATAAGACCAAACAAAGTATAAAAATAACAAAAACAAACAAAAAAACCCCCCAAAAAACAAAGACTGTTAGGAGAGCAGTTTTACATTGTCTTCCCAATGCCCTGAATTTGGCCTGCGATGTTCTTTTTAGAATTATTCTGGAAATAACCATTTTCCACCAGGATAGGATAACACTGAAAGAGGACATAACTCGTTTATAGCTGAACACTGTGCTCTGTGCAAGTTGCTGCCTTCGAGAAGAGGTCCTACTTCAACAATCAGAGGCTTCCAGGTAAAGCAAAAAAATAACCAGTGAACCAAAAAACCCCAGCTTTTTACCTTGTACTAGATTTAAATTCCTTTCACTGTTACCCAGAAAGCCAAACTTCCTGGAAACTTGTTGCAAAAACACGTGTAGGCTCTTCATGGTAAGCTTTTACTACTCTTCTGTGGCAAAGGAGCTTCACTGGATATAGAAGACTATTTCCAAAATAATTTCTATGTTTGTAGAAAGATCACTGAAGATACTCCTTTCACACAGATGGCAGAGTCTACTACACTGAAATGTATTTTTCTAACTGATTGGGTAAGATGTGTTCTAATAGTGACTGGATACTTCTGGATGCTGGATTGTCACACCTGGTAAAAGCTCCCTAATACCAGAAACATGTCAAGTGCAAGTTAGGAGATGCAGAGAAATCAACCATCGAGTCTTGGTTTTGAGCCACTGTAAACATCATCTGACTCACCTTTTTTGAAGGTCTTGTTAATACTAGTCTGTCCCTCAGCAAAGCTTTTGTCTCCTTCAACATAAGGGAACACTCTGCCCTGGTGCACCCAATAGTAGTCATGAGAACCAAAGAAGAACACGGGGAAGTCCCCCAAGTCATGCTTAAGGCCCTGGATGTTCAGTGGCACAGACCTGGGATTGCAGATCTCTGCTGGCCACCATCTGAAAACAAAAGCAATTTTAGATCAATCAAGAGAATGGAAAATCATACCATTCTTTACATGGCTGGCATGAGGGAGAACAAAGGTTTTGTACTTTGCAATTTTGATTCAGATTCTAAGGACACAAAATACCTTGTTTATCTTTAATCCTGCCCAAACCACACATCATTTAAAAACATTGATTAAGGGCGCCTGGGTGGCTCAGTCAGTTAAACATCTGACTTTGGCTCAGGTCATGATCTCATGGTTCATGATTTCGAGCCCCACACTGGGCTCTCTGCTGTCAGCGCAAAGCCCACTTGCGCTGTCCCCTCCTCTCTGTCCCTCCCCTGCTTAGACACACTATTTCTATCAAAAATAAACATTTAAAAAATTAAGAAAAATAAAAAAACATTAGTGAATTCATGAAATAGTAAACTCAGACTAAATAAACTAGACCCTAAACACCCAATTTAGTTTTTTTCCATTAAAAATAAATACCTGATACAAAGAAATATCATGAATATATAAGTTATAAAGCATAACAACTAAAAATAACAACTCATTACCCAACTTAAGAATTAGAATTTGCCAGTACTATTCCAAAACCAATTTCATTCCTAGAAAAGTTATGTGTTCCTCCAAATTTGACAATCTTAGTAATAAGATTGTCTTTCAACATATAAAAGTTGATTTCTAGTAGTTAAGGGTATCATTTGAGAATAAACTGATGCTATAGTGAAGAATGACCACTCCATTCAAATGAACATTTACGTCTTTCTAATCAACCAGAGTAAATGCTTTTTGGTCAAACTTACTAGATTTATGTCTGTGTGTATTTCAGAATCTAATTGATCTTACATAACAATAAATGTGGGATTTGGGACGGAATAAAAATGTAACTCTTTTATGCAATGGCTGAATAGCATAGTGATCACTAAATGAAATCATCTGTGAGGTACATTTGACAGTTTCTAATAACTAGGCAAGTCAAGAATTGAAGGGGTAAGTTTTGGTAGTGCACAGAATAATCAGTTTGAACAGTAAATATACAAAAACTTAATTTTTTTCAGTCTGTGCATGAGTTGGGGAGGGGCAGAGAGAGAGGAAGACAGAGGATCCACAGTGGGCTTTGTGCTGACAGCAGTGAGCCTCATGTGGGGCTCAAACTCACGAACCATGAGATCATGACCTGAGCCAAAGGGGGGACACTTAACTGACTGAGCCATACAGGCGTCCCTACACTGTTTGGATATTTCTTATCCAGGAATGTCTTATCTGTTAATTGTCAAGCTTGCACTCTTGCCCACCCTGGGAAGATAAAGATTTTTAATTATGAAAAGCAGTGTGTGTTTAACAGTTAAAACAATGCAGAAATGTGTAACAGAAAAACTAAAAATGACTCCCTTTTAAAATCTTATGCCTCATATTATTAACATCCGATGTTTTTCTTTCTGGGTCTCAAAAACATCTAGACCTCTAATTTTTTAAAACTGTGTAAACACATGGAAAGATAACGTATATGCTGTTTAACATGCTTCCTAAATTCAACTTTATGCCCTGGGTAGCATCTCATGTTACTATAGAGACTGGCATTACCCCTTCATGGATGTGGCTACACTGTAATTTATTTGAGAAATCCCCCACTGACTGGGCACTTGGGTTATTTCAAATTTTTGCAATTAAAAATAATACTTTAAGGAATAATTTTGCCTGTTTGTCCAGTTTTTTTCCTTAGACAAATTCCTTGAAGGGTAAGTGCTGCGTCAAAAGACAGACACTGTTACAATTTTAATATGTGATGCAAGACTGCCGGGGGCGGGGGGGGGGGGGAACGCCTTTCCCTTTGCCCTCCCTAGCCAAAAAATTATTACTCTTTTAAATCTTTGCCAGTCTGTTAATTGGGTAAAAAATCTTCTTCATCCTTAATGTACACTTATTGTTAGTGAGGCTCAGCATTTTTTTACATATTTATTTTCTATTTGTTCTTTTCTGGCTACCTAGCTTTTTCTCTTCTTTGCTCCCTTTTCTAGGTAAGGTTTTTTTTTTTTTTTTTTTAATGTTTTATTTATTTCTGAGAGAGACAGACAGACAGCGTGAGCAGGGGAGGGTCAGAGAGACAGGGAGACACAGAATCTGAAATAGGGTCCAGGCTCTGAGCTGGTTGTCAGCACAGAACCTGACATGGGGCTCAAACCCATGAACTGTGAGATCATGACCTGAGCCAAAGTCAGTCGCTTAACTGACAGAGCCACCCAGGCGCCCCTTGTCTTTTCTTATTAAAGTGAAAGTGCAAATACTTTCCCTTTGTTTGACATTTGCCTTTTAAACCTTTGTAATTGTTGCCATACAGTATAAAATTATTAATGTATTCAACTGCCAAGTTTTGGGGGGGGTTTCCTGTCATATATTAAAAAAAATAGTGTGGGGAAGATCACTTCTCAATCTCAAGGCCCCTTATATCTCAACTAAAACCAAAAATTTTAAAGTTAAGTAGGTAATGGGTGCTTGGGTAGCTCAGTCGGTTAAGTCTCTGACTCTTGATTTCATCTCAGGTTATGATCTCACTGTCCTGTTGTCAGATTGAGCCCCGTGTTAGGCTCTGCACTAGGCATGGAGACTGCTTAAGATTCTCCCTCTCTTTTGCCCCACCCCTACCTGCTAGTGTGTGCACATGCACACACTCTCTCCTTCTCTGTCACACACACACAAAAAGTTAAATAGGTAAGTAAGCAAGCAGCATATTTAAAATGCAAAGAAAATGACACAGCCCTTGCTAAACAACTATAGTATCGGGGCGCCTGGGTGGCTCAGTCAGTTAAGCGTCCAACTTTGGCTCCGGTCATGATCTCATAGTTTGTGGGTTCGAGCCCCATGTCGGGCTCTGTGCTGACCGCTCAGAGCCTGGAGCCTGCTTCGGATTCTGTGTCTCCCTCTCTCTCTGCCCCTCTCCTGCTCACACTGTCTCTCTCTCTCTCAGAAATAAATAAAACATTAAAAAAAAACTACAGTATGTTTGAAATCCTATAGAAATATATTTTACTTAGTATTCTAATTGAAAAGTGGGCCATTACTGTGCTCTCTTGAATGGTATCTATTTTCTCAGTAAATGATAAACATAACATGTCTCAAAATGTATAATTTTAAAAATATATCGCTATTCCTATTCAATGAAGGCTTGTTAAAGACAGGCTTTTTTTTTTTTTTTTTAAGTTTATTTATTTTGAGAGGGGGAGAGAGAGTACATGCACATGCTCGAGCAGAGGAGGGTTGGATAGACAGGAGAGAAGAGAGAGAATCTCAAGCAGGCTTCATGCTGTCAGCACAGAGCCTGAGGCAGGGCTCAATTCCATGACCCTGGGACCATGACCTGAGCCAGAATCAAGAGTCAGATGCTCAACTGACTGAGCCACCCATGTGCCCCAAAGGCAGGCTGCTTCCTCTTCTTCTTTTTTTTTATTTATTTCTGAGAGAGAGACAGAGTGAGAAGGGGAGGGTCAGAGAGAAAGAGGGAGACACAGAATCCGAAACAGGCTCCAGGCTCTAAGCTAGCTGTCAGCACAGAGCCTGGCGTGGGGCTCGAACCCACAAACCGTGAGATCATGACCTGAGCGGAAGTTGGCCGTCCAACCAACTGAGCCACCCAGGCGCTCCAAGACAGGCTTCTTAAAAGGAGAAACTTTTATTAAAATAATGGCAATCACCCATACTTCTAACTTCATTCTCTTAAGAACTAAAAGCTCTTCATGAAATAATTCCTCTTTAAATGCTAAAGAGCTCTCTCCTTGCACTCAGTTTAAAGCTTCTAGCAGAAACTTAAATGGGCCAGATTTAGGGGTAAAGAGCTATTTTGGCCAGGATGTAAACTTTTGATTTTATTAGAAATCAATATAAATGTATTAAGACACAAAGAAGATATGTTCATACTATTTATATAAGAGCTTTTATTCCAAAATCTAGTAGTACATAGTTCATTATCATAATATAACTTTCAGAACTTAAAAACAAGGGGTGCCTGGGTGGCTCAGCTGGTTAAGCGACCGACTCTTGATTTCAGCTCAGGTCATGATCTCAAGGTTAGTGAGATCAAGCCCTGCGTCAGTCTCTGTGCTGGGCATGGAGCCTGCTTGGGATTCTCTGTCTCCTTCTTTCTGCCCTTCCCCCACTTGTGCGCAATCCCTCCCACCTCAAAAAAAAATCTAAAAAAATTAAAAATAAAAAGTTAGGGAGGAGCCTGCTGTCTCCTCTTAAAAACAAGTCAAGGAACCAATCTAAAAGAAAAAAATTCCAACACCCTTCCCAATCCTGTAAAAACCAACTCAAAATATATTTCTTTTCTCTTTCTTTTTTCAAGGAAGTACTCTGTGTTGTTCTACCTACCTCCTAGTCAGTTTGTATACAGATTATGAACCTATGTCTGAACAATGATTGAATACTTCCTCTGTGTCCTTGGAAAAACTTGCCTGTAATTTCCCAATTTGACCCAAACAATCTGCTTGTAATGTAGTTTCTTGCCAGCTTTACAGTCATTACAATTCCAGCAGCCTTCTGGCATTTCTATGCTCAGGCATTCTGGGTGGAAGGAAGCCGGGCACGATTCACAGCAGAGCAATCTTCCACCTTGAAACAAATAAACAGTCTTAATAACTAAGAAGAGAGGAAAGAGAAAAAGAAAGAGAAAAGAGAAAGTTATCTTTTAAGTGGATCAAATTTGATTCAGATTGGGGGAAAATAAAGGGATTGAGTTAGATCTACAGCGATGGATTAAGATAGAAAGCACATGAGCAGATTTAGCTACTTTAGTCCCTTTTCAGGACTGCAGGGGCCCAAAACTCAAAGCTTTTGAGTAGTATGAGTGGTAGTCTTTACCCTTCTCAAATGTGGGCACTGAGGCATCAGTGTATCAGGCAGCTAAAACTCTTAACAGATGCATGGAATCTTTAGTAGATTTGAGAGCAGATTTTCAAAAAAGTAAGTAGCAACTTACTTTCTTTTCTCCTTGAGAGCCAAGAGAGAAAGCAATGGGGTCATCTTTGTATTTTAAATCCAGTGCCATAGTTAACTAAATCCCTTTACAATAAAATTAGCAAGAAAGAAAACAGCCAATAGGTTGGCCAATACTTTTTTCTTTCCATAAAAAAGTGCAAAAAAGCAAAGGATTAAACTTTCTCAAATTGGTGATTACATTATCATTTACCTTTCCAGCAAAAATAAAGAAAGTCAAAAACAGGCTATACAGCAGTGGTTTGCAACTTTTTCATCACCAAGGATCCTTTTTCTCTTCTTCAGGGACCCAGGATTTCAAGCATTTTATCAACCAATAAATCCCCCAAAACAAACAAAACAAAAAGAAACAAAAAAACAATCCCAGACCAAAAAAACCAGAATCAAAATCTCTGTTAAAAGGCAATAATTTCTCTCCTGTTTTTATTAATCAAAGAAATATATAACTGCCAATCAGAGCTTCTGATCCCAATAACAAAACTAGTATGTATTATCACATTAAGTTGTTCAAATCATAGCCAAATATAAAGAAATGTATGCAGCCTTATTTTGTGCAAATGTGTGATTCTGTTAGATTTTCTGAAATATTAAACAGTTCAAAAATTGCTTATATAAGTTTTTCTGACTTCATATTGAGAACCACTGCTTTATAGCATAAAACTAAGTAAACATCACTGTGGCATAAGTACCACACACAAGGAGATCCCTCTCCAGGTTCCCTGGCAAAATCCTCTCCTTTGAAATACACAAGTGATCTCTGGACTAAGACCAAAACAAGTGCAGCAAACCAAACAAAAGGATATTTTTTAATGCAAAAATATAAAAGAGATTTGGGAGATTAGGTATTTCTAATAGATATTTCAACAAGTGACAGAGAAGGATGTTAGCCACTGAAGATGAACTATAATAAAGACATTTACTGCAAAAAAAAAAAAAAAAAGTGAATTCTGTTGGAAAATCAGGTCCATAAACCTGATTGTAGTGAGGTTTAAAATCTCAAGCAAAAGGTTAAGAGCCCTCTACGTAACTTTATGAAATCACACGCTCCAACCTTTTGAGGGTTTGCTATCAATTTTCCAGAAAATCCTTTCTGCCTGTAGACTTTCAAACTTCTAACTGATTAACATAAAAGCAAAATCTATATACAGTGATGAAATAAATAACTATATTTCCTCTGCTTAAAAGCTTTTACTTCAATCATTAAGATTTTTTCCTTTGTCTGCAAATCTCAATATGGACTAATTGCTCCAATTCTCCAACCTACAGATTAGCTGCCTGAGTGCTCTTAGCCTAGGTAGGGGGTTCGGTAAGTTTAAAATGAGATAACTGACTTCTCCAACAGAAAGGAATTACCAATAGGGAGTGCAGTCTTTGCAAAGAGCTTTAGGGGACATGTGATCATTAGAGCTGACGTGGAAAAGTCAGGCTGGCCATTTTTAACATAGAATAGCCCTCAATTTTAAGTCTTATTTCAGAGGAAATACAGATCCAGAATCGTCAATGAAAATCATCGATTTTTTGACAAAAAATTTTTGACAAAAAATACACAGGAAAAATGAAAATATGAACAATCCACCTTGGTGCTATGCAAGAAAACCGCTTTAGGATGCAAGAAGAAGATATGGTTCAAGCTAAGCAAACAGAGGGCTCAAAATAATTTCAATTCATGTCAAGGTCAATGCTGAGTACCAAAAACAAAGTAAGAAACAACTGAATTAATCTAATTTTATAAAAGCATCAGTAGGAAATAAGGCATTTCCTAAAATGAATGCCTCGGGTGATTTTATTGCATTATGGTGTTAGCCAGACCTATGTCCATGTTTGTTTCAGAAGTAGGTGGTATCACCAGTAAGGTGACATACTCTGACTTCAATGGAAAAACAAACAAACAAAACGAGCAAGTAAGCCAATACTGTCTCCAACCTACTTCTCCACAAGTTCTAATCAACCTGCTTAGTTAGTTATACATTTTTAGTCTTGGGTTGCCACTTCAGATGTCTGACAAAGATCAAAGATGCATCATCAAGCAGGCAACGTAAAGAATGGGAGGGGGGACCCTATTTCAAATGTACCTTAGTATTTTAGGTATGAATTAATTTTTCTTTAAAGATTCTGAACGTGGCTCCTGGATCATAATGGGAATATATACAAGAAAAGGCCTTTACCTTCCAGGTTATTTATTTTACCCTCTCGGATAAGAACGCCCAAATTTATACAGTATTGTTAAAACTACTTTTTCTCTTTTTTACAAGTAGGCTATGTAAAGTTAAATACAAGATAAGATTTGCTTCTATAGATTATTTGGGAGAATATAAATATACATTTAGTACTTGATTCTCTGTGGATAAATTATTCATAAGTAATTTTTCAGTTGAGCTGGGCTGCCTTTCAATATCCAATATTTGGGTTATCCTCCCCAGGTGCCCACCAAGGTCTAAGAGAAGGGCAACTAGTTTTCATAGCATCTTAACATTTAAGAAACAAAAGGAAAGAATGTACCCTAAAATCAAAATTTTAAGTATCAATATCTTGGTTTCCCTCTTTTAATAACATATCTTGGTTTTTTTTAGTTGAAATTTCATAATAATTAACATCATGTCTATTCTATTCTAACATGAATGGTAGTTTTCCATCAGGCAGAAGAGAAAGAGTCCTTAGAATCTTTCTATATTAAGCAAAATCCTAGTCTTTCAATTTTAATAACCCATAGAGACAGAATGTGTGAGAATTTATTCAAGGAGAAAAATAAATAAGAATTTGCAATAATGGAATTATTTTAAGCCCTTTTTAATAATGTTGCAGCCATATGAAGACACAGTCACAACCACCAAGGTAGAATTTACCAAAAGTAACAGATAGTGCTTGACAGGCATACATTTCCCCCCTTCATTTAAAGAGAAAAAAAAAAAAAAAAGGAATGCAAAAATAAAGCAAGAGATAAACTATTTTGATTATTACCTTTCTCACATTTCTTTTTGGAAGCTGACGAAGAAGGAATCATAGGTAATTTCATCAACTCTGCACGATTTGATTCATTCAGTAGGTAGTGGGACTTATAGGCATATGAACTGAACATGGGGTCTGAATGGTCCTGAACTATCAGCCCTATACGAAACAAACAGAAAGAGATGAGCTGCAATGAAACTACCCATGATTCCATGAGGGAAAAAAAAATAAACCGTGTAACACCTATTATGTAGCTGTGCTAAAAGTTGGGGGGGAAATGAGAATATGAAGAAAGAGAAAAATCTGACAGAAAAGGCTTGCGAGAGTTATTAAAGGGAGTTTGAGCTACTCCGTGCCTTATCCTGTAAGAACCTACAACACCCAGAAGAAAACCACAAATTAATTTGGAGATGTAAACTGCATTTGATGTCATGCTTAAAACCTGCTATGATACACAAAGCTACATTCCTTAATAATTAGAAATACTGTAATGACAATCCAAAGAACCAAGTGACATATCACTTAATAGCAAATAAGAGTTATTTACATAACATAGTAGAGACACTGATCTACCTTCAAGTAACATGGAAAGGCAGAATTGAGTCTCTCCTCTTCTCTAGTTATATCTTTTTCTGCCAGATTAATGAAGCTATTCTCTATCAATATGATTTATGATTTTAAAGGAGCCATATGATTTGTTAAACTTCACTGAGGTAATACAAACCATTTACATTTCCCCCCCTTGCCATGACATAAAGTAATTACCAACCTAAGGGTTTATAAAGATAGTTCTTTTGATCTACCAATCCAGCTATCCTGTTTGGAAGGAAAACAGAAGATCTCCTCTAAACCACCTCTCTCCTCCCTCCTATCCACTTCCCCTTGTTGAGTTCACTTTAGGCCACTCTTCACCTAGGTGAGTGTGAGAAGAGGGAACATTTCTCTATTTGGTTACTAGACAGTTTATGATGATCTTAGGACTAAACAATAAGGATCATGACAGCAGTTTTATAGAGATCATTTTGAAAAGAGTCAAGAGTTTTGTTTTTAAAGGGGGTTACCATTTACTTTTTGCCATGGGTGTGTTATCTTCATTTGTTGCTACCCTACAGAGGAAGAGTCAAAACCTACCTCTGACCTGGAGGACAGAATGGAACTTAAAATTGCTAATTGGCAACAGTATAATAATCTTCTAATAAAAGTTATATAATGTTAAATGAATTTTATATGTTTAATAGAGAGAAGCAGTGTAGTATTAAAAAACTGGGGCTTTGAAATGAGACAGATCAGGTACAAATGCTAGTCCCACTATTTAACAACTTCTATGACCTTCAGGTAAATTATGGAATCTGGGCTTCAGTGTTCTCATCTATATAAAATGGGGAAATAACTTCTGAAGGCAACTGTGACAATTCAGATGGTATCTGGTAGAGTTTGATTTACAGATGCAAAAAAATTGCTATTATTATTAAAACGAAAAGAAAACCCTATCTACCTTCTCCATTATAAATTACCATGACAAAGAAAGGCACAGAATGTTAAGTAACTTTTATTTTACACCAACCCCACCAGAGGAAAGGAAGTGCTAAAGAATATATACCACACTGAAATAGGATTGAACATTTCCTATAGTGCCATGAGAGGTAGGGAAGGAGCAATGTTCCTCTACACCTTGAAACATTTCTAAAAATATTTCTAGATATTTCAGTCCTTAAGAATTAGCTGAATGATTTTAAACAACCAATAACAATGAACTAAGAGCAAAATCCTTCATGAGGAGGGAAAAACCATATAAGGCAAGAAACAAAAGCAAAACAAAGCTCTCTAATACCAATACAGATACAATGAAAACCTTCTTTTTTATTATGTGAATTTATTACAGTTAGGTCTCTTTAAAAAAAAGGAGACCTTAGGGTGCCTGGGTGGCTCAGTCGGTTATGCATATGACTCCTGATATGGGCTCAGGTCATGATCTTGAAGGTTTCTGAGTTCAAGGACAACATAAGCCTCTGCACTGCTAATGCAGAGCCTTGCTTGGGATTCTCTCTCTCTGCCCTCTCCTGTTCTTGCCCACACGAGCTCGCTTGCTCACTCTCACTCTCACTCAAAATAAATAAACACTAAAAAAATTTATTTAATGAGACCTCTATAAGTACTAATAAAAGAGCACATATTATTTACTTGTGAAACTTTCAGCCTTCTCAAATCCCAACATCTGATCTATTTTGAATAAGTTTCTGTAAAAGGCTGGAAAGGAAAATGAAAGTTTCTGTTTACTGTACAAAGTTTCATAGTTACAATTTTGAAGAATTAAATAATCTTCATTACATAGGCATTTAAATATAGTATATCTTTCAGAATACCTATCAAATTGATAAGATGCAAATACAGATCCTGTATTTCAAGCTTTTTTAAATCAAGGCATCTTAAGTTAAACTTAAAATGGCTAGAATCTCTATAAAACTAGGTTCCTTGATAATGGCCTAGTTTGAAAATTGAAAATACCTGTTTTAAAGATTTCCCAATTATTGAATGAAATAGAGCAAAATAAAGTATTGGTTAATATACTGATAGTAACATTCAGAATGTACTCCAAAATAAGCCAGGATGATAGTTATAAACTTAATACTTAAAATGTTGGCTCAGTTAAACACACACACACACACACACACACACCCCTAGTAAAGTGAGTAATAGTAAGTGCCTAGCAAGGTAGAATAAAATTTTTACTAAGTGACAAGAGACTTCATGCTATCACTGACGCTCATCTGTTTAGAGCCTCTAAAGCTAGCCATTCAACTGATAGTTCAGTGATTTCCACACTGTCATTACTTTCTTAGGGATGGGGAGATGTAAAAGACACCAGTGGTAACTTTTTACTTCTTTTGACTATTTGAACCTTTCTGCCACTTGTTACAATGTGGCACAAAACATTACAGACTTCCTCCTCCACATACCAGCCAGGTTCCAAGCAGGATACAGCTGTAATTGCTCCTGTAAAGAAAGACACAAGGCTTCCCCAGTAAGGGCAAACAGCCCCAGGCGCTTACCACACATTGCCGCAAACTGAACTGAAAGCCTACATACAATGGACTCCGGACTGCCATTTTATTTAATCTTTTACTGCCCACTTCCTCTGGCTTTTTTTTTTTTTTTTTTTTAAAAGAGAGACATAAAACCAAAACAAGTCTAGATCTGTCACACTACCTAAATTCTATTTTAAAATATTTTACAGTGCTTTCACTAAATTAAAAGAACTATCTCCTAAAGCACAAAACCAAACCAAAACAAACAACACCAAAACCAAACCAAACCAAACACCTCATCTTCAGTATGCTCTAAACATAATCTAATTGGCCTGATATACCACAGAGTCCTTTCAAAGTTCAGAAAAGTTAGCACTTATATTTAAAAAATAAAAACAAAAACTATTTGGGGATAGGAGTTAATTTCTAAAATGTCTACTAAATATTAAAAATTATTTTATTATACAGCTGAGATATTCTGTAATGCTGAATGCTCTGCATTATACTCAACTAAATAAATTCTAGCTTAGGGGCACCTGGGTGGCTCAGTTGGACGTCTGACTTTGGCTCAGGTCATGATCTCATGGTTTGTGGGTTCGAGCCCTGCACTGGGCACTGTGCTGACAGCTTGGAGCCTGGAGCCTGCTTCGGGTTCTGTGTCTCCCACTCTCTCTGCTCCTCCCCTGCTCATGCTCTATCTCTCTCTTTATCAAAACTAAATGAGGGGCGCCTGGGTGGCTTAGTCGGTTAAGCGTCCGACTTTCGCTTAGGTCATGATCTCGCGGTTCGTGGGTTCGAGCCCCGCGTCGGGCTCTGTGCTGACTGCCAGCTCAGAGCCTGGAGCCTGTTTCAGTCTGTGACTCCCTCTCTCTCTGACCCTCCCCTGCTCACGCTGTCTCTCTCTCTCTCTCTCCTAGAAATAAATAAAAATATTAAAAAAAAAAAAAACTAAATGAAAACAAAAACAATTTTTTTTTAAAAAAGAAAAATTCTAGTTTATATTTATCACGAACTCAACTCCCCTGAACCCCTCAGGGTGACAACATTGTTTTTACTTGATCAAGCTCTTGGCATACTTAAATACCAACAGCTGGCAAGTAGGAAAGCTTGCCTTGCTGGCTTTTAGCTACCACTACCACATATGTTGCCTTGGCTGTATCCCATCAGGCCTTCCTCAATGCCAGACCAAAACATGATAAAATACAACATAAACAATTAAAAAAAAAAATGTGCTCATCTCTCCTTCCAAGTGAAATCTCAATCAGATGAAAGAAAGCTCTGGATTAAAGAATAGGATATGGGAAAAGTCTACTTTGAATAGAATAATTGTTTGCAGAAGGGAATACATTAATCTTTAGATGTGCCATACAGGAACACTGAGAACTTAGATTTTAGCTTAATTTATAGAAGAATTAATATTCTAACAATCCGAATGTTTAATGTTATACGAGGGACTACTTAAAGTGTTAATGTCTCAGGGATATTACTGAATCTCTATTTTGGTAGGGAAATACGCCAATGAACTCAAAGAAACGGAGAGAAAGGACTGACACTCACCTCTCGCACAAACGAAACAAAAGCCTACATTTATGGCAGAGGATGAACCACTGCTCCGCTTGGAATGGTTACTACAGATGAGAACGTAGGAGGACACAAATATGCTTCCGGCAGCAATGCAAGCATCTCCAGAGTGATAGGCTATTGGGCATCTCAAACATCTCATCATGCGGCCTGTTTAAGGACAAATTAAGAAAAAAATCTACATAATTAGGCATCAGCTGGATATAAAATGAGTTTTTTGGAGTTGGGCTGTCTTGGGTCCCCTGTGATGCTGTTATAGTAAGACAGTATTTTTCTTCACAAGTTTGGCTCTGTCATTCCTTATGCAGGACCTTAAATACAGTGCCCACTGAGGGATCACTCAAAGAAAAAATTGTTCTACAGCTGGAGACATGTGGTCTTAATGTCACCTGTTAAAGAAATTTTCAAGGGTAACTGTGAACATATAGAATTTTCTTCTCATGGTATCAATTAGAACCTAATCTCTAATTATCATGCTATCTATTGTGGCTGAGCTGTTACATCTACAGATACAAAGAAAGATAGCACCTGATATTTTTTATAATAATGTGCTTATTATTTGCTACTGCACTTAAAAAAAAAAAAACTAAAACCCAGGGGGCCTGGGTGGCTCAGTCAGTTAAGCATCCTCTTAACTGCTTAAGATCATGACTTCGGCTCAGGTCATGATCTTGCCGTTCGTGAGTTCGAGCCCCCCATGGTGCTCTGTGCTGATAGCTCAGAGCCTGGAAACTGCTTCAGATTCTGAGTCTCCCTCTTTCTTGCCCCTCTCCTGCTCATGCTCGCTCATGCTCTCTCTCTCTCTCAAAAATAAACATTAATAGAAATTAAAAAAGAAAACAAAAAAACACCCCAAAACCTTTGGTCTCTTTTTTAAGCTCTGTTTTACCTTTACTTGCTTTGTAGATATCTTTTTCCATGGAACAGGCAGAGCAACAGTGCTGGGGACAGCGGAATCCTTTTGATTCAAAGATGGCAGTGGGGAATTTGCGGACACAGGCTTCATGATAAAACTTCCCACAAGCACCAACAGAGCAACGCTTCACATCTGTACCAGACACTTTACATGAAAAACATGGGTGCTGTCCTGAAAAATTGGTTGGGGAACACAAATTAAATAAAACCTGATTAAAGCATATTCCTCTTAAATAGAAGCAGCTAAAAGATTATTTAATAAATTTGGTCAGAATTTGATCATAGTTTGAAGATAAAGCGCTAAAAACAATTTAGATCTTTACTTTCTTACTCTATAATAAAATTAATCTGCAGAAAACCCAGAGCAGAATTTTTCAATATATGGGAGCTGAGAGAGGGAAGGTCTTCCCAACCCAGAATAAATAAATTCCAAAAGACAACAAAGATTCCATTACAGCTTCCATATGTAAAACAGACATAAAATGAAAACTCATAATCCTAATACAAAACACACAATATTATAACTAGATATCTTATTCAAACTGTAGTAAATCAAAAACAAAGAGAAAATATTAATATTACCATAGAAACGACAATGATCTTCAAAGAAGCAACAATAAGACTGAGAGCTGACAGCGAGGGAAAAACAGAAGCCAGGAAACAATGGGACGCTGTCTTCAAAGGGCTGAGAGAAAACTTTTACTAAGCTAGCATTCCATATCCAGTGAAAGCACTCTTTAATAATGGGAGTGAAATTAATATATATCGGGGAGGATTGAAAAAACATAAGTTAGGTGTTTTTGGTAAGAGATTAATAAAGCTGATATCTCTGGCAAGAGAAACTATTAAAGAGAAAAAAGCACCAATAATATCAGAATTGAGAAGTGGTACATCTCTACAAATCCTACAACTGTTAAAAAAATAAATTGCCAATAATTTGAAAAATCTACATTCATGGACAGATTCTTAAAAAAGCAGGGGGGCCTGGGTGGCTCAGTTGGTTGAGTAACTGACTCTTGATTTCGGCTCAGGTCATGATCTCATGGTTCATGGGATCGAGCCACACACCCCCACATTGGGATTCTCTCTCTCCCTGCCCCTCAGCCACTCCTATTCTCTCTTTCTGTCTCAAAATAAATGAATAAACATTTAAAAAAGCATAATTACCACCACTCCCACAAAATTAAATAGAAAATATGAATAGTTCTATAAACTATTAAAGAAATTGAAAGTATAATTAAAAATCTTCCAAAAAAGAAAACTTTAAGCTCAGATGGTTCCACTGGTCAATATGCCAAACATCTAAAGTTAGAAATAATATCAATTAGGATAGAAGAGGATAGGATAAAAAGAAATAACAAGCCAGATGTGGAAAAATATATGCAACAAAGATGATAAAGGGTTATTTTGTTACAAAAAGTTCACATATGGAGAAAATACACGCAACATATAAGCAAAGGTAACTAATCAAAATTTATACAGAACTATAAATTAATATAGAAACGGAGCAGCTTAATACAAAAGTGGGCAGGGGCACCTGGCTGGCTCAGTCAGCAGAGCATGTGACTCTTGATCTTGGGGTTGTGAGTTCAACCACTCACTGAATGTAGGGCTTACTTTTAGATAGATAAATAAATAAATGTGGGCAGGATACAAACAGGCAATTTACAGAAGGCAGAAAGACAGTCAATAAACAAATGGAAAAATGCTCAATTTCACTAGTAATCAGATAAATGCTAATTAAAACCTAAGTAATATTTTAAATATTCATCAAGAAAAAAGAGCTTGATAATACCAATGATTGATGGGGTATGGGAAACAGGTACTCTCATATATTGCTAGTAGGAGTTTAGGTTCGAAGGAACTACCTTAGAAAGCTACATGACGGTATCCATTAAACATACATTTTCTGTGACCTAGAAATTTTGGTTTTTGCTATCTATATTAGGGAAACCTTGTACATATAAAAGGAGGTTTACTGAAGCACAGTTTGTAACTACAAAGAACTGAGAACTCAAACATCCTTCAACAGGAGAACAGTTAAACCATGATAGGTGCACACTATGGAACACTATGTAGTAATTAAATAGAATGTATCTGTATAGACATGAAAAGAGCCCCAAGATAGTGAAAAAAGTAAGCTACAGAAAATTAATACATTTTGTTACAACACACAGAAAAGGTTATGTGTGTGTATGTTTGTGTACACACACATGCTTGGCTTATAATTATATTTTTATAAGACTGCATTTATATATTATTTGTGTAATGAGAAATAAATTTAAAATACTAACAAATGCTAAAAACATCTTTACCACCACAATACACAAATGGATAAAATATAAACAGATCATTCACAAGAGAGGGAATAAAGGTACAGAAAAAGATGTTTAGTTGTAAACAAAGAACTGTAAAGTGTAACAACATTTTTGTTAGTTGTTCTAGTCTTTGAAGATAACTATCTTTTCTGTGGGTAATTTTAATATTTTCTCTGTCCTTAATTTCTACGGTTTGAATAAGATGTCTAGCTGTAATTTTCTGCCTCTTTTATTAGGACGGGAGTTTTCATGTCGTGTCCATTTTATAGATAGTATTTTAAGTGATTATTTATTGGCCATTTGGATATCATCTTTTGGAAAAAGACTTTCAAGTCTTTTGCTCATTTTCTCACAATACTATAAAAAATCTGAAAAAAATGGAATAGTTTCTTGTTTTGTTTTTTACAGAGTTAGGTTTTATTTTGGAAGTACCTAACCTTTACAAATTAGCTGAATTATAAAAATTGTTTAAAATTAGTACTTACAACTGTGATGTTCAAATGTGTATTTTTTTTTCTTTACTGGCTTTGTTGTAAATAGAGTACAGCAGGGTTCTGAGGTTTTTTGTTGTCTTGTTACATTGTAGAATTTCAGATTATATTTTAATATATATGTAGATATGAGAGCAATAGTATTATTTTTAAAATAACTTAGAAAATTAAAAAATTAAGAGAAATTATTTTAAAGATTCATAAGTTTGATTTTACAGCTTTGCCTAATTGCATAAACTGCTCTATGTAAAAAAAAGGTTTCACTTGCATAATGATCAAAATAGGACTAAAATAAATGAAAACTTCTGTAACTAGTGACAGTGTTATAGAGAGCTGAACTATCAAACTCTTTACAGCTCTAAGGATATGAGTGCCTCCAATACCCTCCCTTCTCAGGACATGGTCTTCATTTAGAATATTTAATAAATAAGCTAGACTGTTACATATTTTAATCACAAGATAAAACATTTCATCACAAGGTAAAATGAAAGTGCTTTCTTTCCAGAAATTGCATTTGTCTTCAACAATAAAAACTGGCAGTATAAGAATTTATTACGCATGCATCCTCTAATACTTTTTACATGCAAGTGTTCATCTTTTGATAAACAAAAAACTTTCTAAATGACCTTAGACAATGGTTTGGAGTTTTTACTATTATGTCAGAAGGGTAACAAATTGGTATCAAACTAATTTTCATATGAGAAGAAATCAAATATTTAAAAATAATTGTTATTTAAACCATGGTTAAAAATATATAACAAAATTTACCACTTTAACTATTTTTAAATGTACAGTTCAGTGACATCAAGAATTCATTATTTTGCAACCATTTACTACCATCCACCTCCAGAACTCTTTCATCATCCCATACTGAAATTCTGTACCCATTTCTTTTTATATATTTTTTAGTGTTTATTTTTGAGACAGAGAGCATACATGCAAGTGGAGAGGGGGAGAGAGAGAGGGAAAAAGAAGATCTGAAGTGGGCTTTGCACTGACAGCAGAGAGCCTGACGCGGGGCTTGAACTCACAAACCGTGAGATCATGACTCGAGCCAAAGTCAGATGCTTAACTGACTGAGCCACTCAGGTGCCCCTCTGTTTCCATTTAAACAAGAACTCCCCATTTCTCTCTGGAAAAACTAGTGTAAAACAAAACAAAACAAAACAAAACAAAACACACCTTGGTAACAACTGCTCTACTTTCTGTCTCTATAAATCTGACTACTCTAGGTAACTCATTAAAGTAGAATCAAACAATATTTGTCCTTTGTGGCCAGCTTATTTCATCCACAATCATGTTCTCACGGTTCATCCATGTTATAGCATGTATCAGAATTTGATTTGTTAATGTTTTCCTCTGTTTAAAAAATATTCTATTTCATGTACACACATTTTATTATCCATCCCTTCGTTTGTTCATCTATGGACAGTTGGGTCATTTCCACCTTTTGACTACAGTGTATAATGCTGCAGTGCATATGGGTGTACAAATATCTGAGTCTCTGTTTTTGGTTCTTTCGGGTATATACGCAGTGGTGGAATAGCTGAACCATATGGTAATTCTATGTTTAATTTTTTTAGGAACTGTCATACTATTTTCCACAGAGGCTGTACCATGGTACATTCCTGCTGACAGTGAACAATGGTTCCAATTTCTCCATATTCCAGCCAACACCTGTTCTGTTTTTTACTTTTATTTTATAATGGTCCTTGTAATGAGTGTGAAATAGCATCTCATGTGATTTTGATTTGCATTTCCCTGATTACTAGTGATTTTGAACATTTTTTCATGTGCTTATTAGCCCATTTGTAGATCTTCTTTGGAGAAATGTCTATTGAAATCCTTTGTCTCTTTGGGGCTTTTGGTTTTTTGCTGTTGAATTGTAGTTCTTTATACATTCTGGATATTAATCCCTTATCAGACATGTTCTTTCATTTTGTAGGTTGCTTTTTCAGTCTGTTAACGGTGTACAAAGTTTTTAATTTTGGTAAATCTCATTTTTTTCTTTTCTTGCCCATGCCTTTGGTGTTATATCCAGGAAATCAATGCCAAATCCAATGTCATGAAGCTTTTTCCCTATGTTTTCTTCTTAAGATTTTTAGTTTTAACTCATGTTTTGATTTTTGATCCATTTAAATTAATTTTTATATATGGTTATTAAGTAAAGGTCCAACTTCATTCTTTTGCATGTGGATATCTACTTTTCCCAGTACCATTTGCTTTTTGTGTTTTTTCTTTTTTATGTTTATTTTTGAGAGAGGGAGAGAGCAAGCAAGCATGAGCCGGGGAGGGACAGAGAGAGAGAGTTTTCCCAGTACCATTTGCTTTTTGTGTTTTTTCTTTTTTATGTTTATTTTTGAGAGAGGGAGAGAGCAAGCAAGCATGAGCCAGGGAAGGACAGAGAGAGAGAGCGAGAGAGAGAGAGAGAGAGTGAGAGAGAGAGAAAGAGAATCTGAAGCAGGCTCCAGGTACTGAGCTATCAGCACAGAGCCCGAGGCAGGGCTCAAACTCAGAAACCGTGAGATCATAACCTGAGCCGAAGTTGGAGGCTTAACTGACTGAGCCACCCAGGAGCCCCTCAGCACCATATGTTGAAAAGAGTCCCTTCCCATTGAATAATCTTTGCACTCCTGTCAAAAAAATCATCTGACCATATATGTGAATGTTTATTTCTGGGCTCCCTATTCTATTTCATTGGTTTATATTTCTGTCTTTATACCAGTACCACATTATTTTAATTACTGTAGAGTTGTAGTAAATTTTTATTTAAAAAAAATTTTTAAGGGGCGCCTGGGTGGCTTAGTCAGTTAAGTGTCCGACTTTCGCTTAGGTCATGATCTCGCGGTTCGTGGGTTCGAGCCCCGTGTCGGGCTCTGTGCTGACTGCCAGCTCAGAGCCTGGAGCCTGTTTCAGAGTCTGTGACTCTCTCTCTCTCTCTCTCTGACCCTCCCCTGCTCACGCTGTCTCTCTCTCTCCTAGAAATAAATAAAACATTAAAAAAAAATTTTTTTTAATTGTTTTACCTTGTAGTGAATTTTTAAATCAGGAAGTAAGTCTTCCAACTTTGTTCTACTTGTTTTTTTGTTTTTTTTTAAATATTTTTATTTATTTCTAGGAGAGAGAGAGAGAGAGACAGAGTGACCAGGGGAGGGTCAGAGAGAGAGGGAGACACAGACTCTGAAATAGGCTCCAGGCTCTGAGCTGGCTGTCAGCACAGAGCCCGATGCGGGGCTTGAACCCACGAACCGCGAGATCATGACCTAAGCGAAAGTCGGACGCTCAACCGACTAAGCCACCCAGGTGCCCCTGTTTTACTTGTTTTTAAAGCAAATTTCTCTTTTAAATTTTTTTTTTAAACATTTATTTATTTTTGAGAGACAGAGACAGCATGAGCAGGGGAGGGCAGAGAGAGAGAGAGGGAAACACAGAATCCGAAACAGGCTCCAGGCTGTCAGCATAGAGCCCAACACGGGGCTTGAACTCATGAACTGTAAGATCATGACCTGACCTGAAGTCAGATGCTTAACTGACTGAGGCACCCAGGTGCCCCTCGTCTAAATTTTCTAATAGATGTGTGCCAAATTAGACTAGATCTAGCCTTTGTTGGCAGAATTCTGCTCTCTTGGGTTCTAGAGTTAGGAGAAAAGCCCTCAGAGTACTTCAATACCCTGATACATGGTGCTTCCTATCAGTAGTTTATACCAGAGATTGCAAAGTAAGTGCTTAAAAGAGGCCAGGCAGATTACATAAATGACTGGAATGATAGGGTTCTAGAAAAGAGGATGGCAGGGAATGTGAGGAACCAAGGATGTGTGCCTGATCCATGTTCACACATTCAAATCATTCTGAAGGCCAAATAACATGATGCACAGATAATCTGACCCTGAGGCTGCCAGTTGGCAAACTATTCTAAAGTTCTACTGCAGAGTCTAAATGTGATAAATAATATTTTACATAGGAAAAAATACAAGTTATATGTTTAAAACAGCTTTTATAGCTTAATTTTTGCATGTGTGTATATGTATTTGTATTAGGATATATGACATATGAAATACAATCTCCACCCTACTTCATCGCAGTAGAAGGAAACAGTACCGAGCAAGGACTCCTGGGTTAAGCTACTTCCCGGGTTTAAACCCCAGTTTCATCATATGTTGTCTTTTGACTTTGGGTAAGGTATTAAACTTTCTCTCTCTATAAATTGTCTTGATCAGCGGTAGTCTATATGGGGGGGGGGGGGGGGGGATAAGACCAAAATGATGAATCCAAAACCCCCATGTCTAAAAAACAATTTCCAGTAGCTCCATCTTTCCAATAAAAATATAATCACTATGGTTATAGTTTGTGAGTTTGTGACTGACGTTTATCCAGTCTATTAAAGTCAAGGGGACTTTAACCCAATTTATTGAACACAAAACTTTCAAACTCATCTAAAAAATAATTCACTCTATATATTTTGAATAGTTAATTAGATAAAACACAAATCCATCTCAACAATTTGATCTTAGGAATCCCGATCACTGAATGGTCTTAATTTGCTAAAATACCTATGGGAGTGGAGGATGAGAGCTACATAAAAGTAGCAGGAGAATTAGATGTCACAGGGGATGCTGGCATCACATACTCCTCCCTGCCTGTCTGTTCATATCTATCAAACTAAGTAAACTTACCGGTTTTACATTCCATGCAGATGAACTTTCCATCAGGGGGTGATGCCAATCCCAGGCACTCCAGGTGAAAGTGTTTGCAGCACTCTCCCTCACAAGGAATCAGAGAGTCACCAGAGCTTTCACAAATCTGTAACAGGGCAAAAAGTGGTCATTCTTAAACTTTAGCAGGCATTAGCATCACGTAGAGGGGCTGTTAAGACAGATTTCTGGGTATTCCCCATAGCTTCTGATTCAGCAGGTCTAGGCTGGGGCCCAAGTATCTGCATTTCTAATAAGTCTTCTGACAATGGTGATGCTGCTAGTTCTTGGCCCTCACTTTAAGAACCACTGAAGTGCTCATCCCCACAAGTGCCTTCCTCTATGCCCATCACTCAACCTCCCCACCACACCCATCAGTCCTCAGTTTGTTCTCAGCATTCAAGAGTCTCTCATGGTTTCAGCACTGGGTGTTATATGGAAACCAACTTGACATAAACTATTTGTGTAAAAAAAAAAAAAAAAAAAAAGAACCACTGAAGTAATTTATTTTAATTTTACTTTTTAAAGTTTTTATTTTAATTCCAGTTAATAATAATAGCACATACAGTGTTATATTAGTTTCAGGTGTACAATATAATGATTCAACAATTCCATACATCACCTGGTACTCCTCATGACAAAAATAATAAAAATATAGGAAGACTATATCAGAGAGTATATATATATAAAACCACTGAATTAAATAACTATTTCTAGACTCAATATGGTATAAAGTTTAAAAGGCATATTTGATCTTTCATGATTCCTTCTCTGGAATCTGCACACTTTAACTTTTCTCCACAGGGCAAAGCAGTATTTTTCAAAAAGGGTAAATATATACTGAAAAAGGTAATACTGGGGCTCCTGGGTGGCTCATTCAGTTAAGTGTCCAATTCTTGATTTCAGCTCAGGTCATGATTTTGAGCCCCATGTCAAGCTCGGTGCTAGCAGTAGAGAGCCTGCTTGGGATTCTCTTTCTCCACCCCTCCTGTGAGCTCTCTTTCTCTCTCTCTCTCAAAATAAATAAATAAACTTTAAAAAAAAGTAATACCAACTTAAATTTAAGAAAATGTTTTTGAAATCAGTCACCTGCCTTTTTTTTTTTTAAAGTAAGCTCTAGGTCCAACATGGGACTTGAATTCACCACCTCGCGATCAAGTTGCCTGTTCTATAGACTGAGCCAGCCAGGTATCCCTTCCCTTTTACTTTTAATTAAGAACTGAGTATCACAATCAAGATTAGCACTGCATATGAATAAAATTCCCAACTCAGAAAGGGAAGAGAAGAACTTTTAGACCTCTAGCTTTAAAGTAGTATAATTTAGAAAGATAATATTCTTTCCAGCAGAAGGTAAGTATATTATTGGCAGAATATTAAAGCAGTTATTTCAAGCTATCCGTTGCTTGCCTACCTGACACACAGTGTCCTTCTTACTGATTCCAACGCCTCTTCTTGACAAACTTGAATCCACGGACTGCACATCAGAAACATCTATATCTGCAGTAGCGGAAGGGCTATCTACTTGCTTTCCAAAGCCTACCTACAAGGAAAACACAACACTTGTTAAGAAAAAGAAAACAAAATTTTCCTCAAAGTTAGGTGCTATGAAAATCCAAGCAAGATTTGCTCAAATAAACCTTAATACAACCTCTTTTCTTCCTTTCTAAAACCCCTGGATAGTATATGCCTGGTGTTTTGAGAGAAACGTAGTTAAAACTTAAAAACAGGGAAGCAATGCTTCTGTTATGAAAAGAGATCAGCAAAATTAAGACATTCGTTAAGTTACAAAAAGACAAAATGATTTGCTGAGTATTTAAAAAATTCCCCCATCTCCCCAAATAAGTCAAAGCATTTTGTTACTTTGTTTTTCAAAGCAAAAGAGCAATGTGGCCAGAACCTTGAACATATTTACCTGTAGGTCACTCAGTCCTCTAGAATCGGAGTCTGACGTGTCTCTGTATGCTGAGCTAGTCATTTCTACATCAGTTGAGGCGCGACTCCTTTTCTTTAGAGGTTTACAGGAATCTGAAATCTCGCTGGCACCTTAATACAACATACTGAAATTAATCCTAAAATAGTGCTTAAAGTTTGTTTTATTTTTTTTTTTTTTTGTGGGAGATTCTTTCTTTCCCCAGACTCATCTGTAGTGTGAAAAAAGCACAGCTCTCTTGGTAACACTGAAGTCATGAGTCAAAACTTCATAAGCTTCTGACCTTACTGACAGTGAGTGATTTAATTTACAACCGCTCTCTTAAAACATTTAATTCAGTGCTCCTCCTCTAAAGCTATTTTCAGTCAACAGAGCCCACGTTCCAAGCTAAAAACCAATTTTATCAAACCTACAGGATTGCCGATTGATTTGGAGCAATCCAAAGAACCATTCAATTTGGAGGGGGAAGACATAAAACCCAACACACTGTGTAGCTTACAAATATGGTCGCAGAGACATCTCCATCTTGTTTTTATTAGGGATGTGACAAATCTTTGATTTGTATTCGATTCGTACACGGATAGTGCCATTTTCCCCCGAATTTTGCAATTCAGTTGATTATTGCCCCCCGAACAAATTTTGGATGTTCATAATTGTTCATCTGAGACTTCCTTGGTGAAGTGGCATTTATTGTGACCATTAACAAGTGCTGCAGCACATCTACATATGTCATGCCATTTAGGAGGCACATTGCTGAGGGTTGGAACGGACAATCAATGTTCAAGTGCAGCCAAATCACGAAGAGCTGGATGAGAGGCCTCTATGTGGAATTTGTGCGGGAAGGAATAAATATGAAAAAAAAAAAAAAAAGGCAGAGAATAGTGAGGAATTTTTTTTTTTTAAAACTGTGTGTAATACAAATCCAGCCAAAACAATAGTGCAAAAAGTTACAAAGCAACAATCTCTTGGGCTAATGCAGTATAGGCTATACAGAAACAGCCACGATGAAATGTGCAGATCAGGCACGGTGAATACCAGGGAACCAAGGAGACGGTTAATATTTCAACCCACAGTTTGTGTTTTGGATTTTTTTTTCCCCCAAAATTTCCATACAACAAACAGACATCTAGATCAGCCCAGCAAGCTATGGTGGAAGTGTGCAGTCCAGAAGAGACCATGGAGAAACAAGTCTCCTGAGGCCATGAAGATCCGCAACAGGCTGAGTGAGAGTAGCACTTGGTATATAGCCATGTTCTGTGGTGGAGGATGTGGGCCTCTTTAGACTGCTCAGATTACTGGAACCTTGTTATCATCACATCCCATTCTACAAGTTTTTTCACTGAATGTTTCCTTACATCTATAAATGAGGGTGCCTGCCCATGTTAACGCTGATTAAAAAACACAAGTACACAAATCTATCTCCTTCATTGCTGGTGTGTGGACCCAGAACACCACCACAAAGTATTTCCTTGGCCTAAAAGATCATTGGATTAACAAGGAGTTTTAACAGAGGAACAGGAGTGCTGTACTGAGAGGCTTTCGAAGGGAAACACAGGTACCGCCATTTCCGATGAGTTTCTGAAAATGCTAGAAAAATGACAGACTGCCAAAGACAGCTGCCATGCTGTTCTCCATGATAACGGCACTAATATTAAAAAAAATAAGAGCTTTTAATGATTGTAATGTATACAGTTTGGGCTGTTTGGCAAAACCCTGCAGATGTGCATTAATGATGCTTTATTTAAAAACAAAAAACAAAAAAACAAAAACAGTCCATGTTGAAATTGATCAGTGTAAGTTAAACGGTGGTTTTTAGGCTGGACCCATGATTTAAGCTGTACCCATCCAGCTCAGACCAAAAAAAAAAAAAAATCATCTGAATGTTAAAGCAATTGTTCAGAGTCTTGAAGAAGAAACCAGGCAAGAAAATGCCAATAATGATGATTGGCAAAATCAAAATTGAAAACAAAGAAACTGTTTATCGAGCCGCCGACAAAGAAATCTTGCATGGAGACTACAAGTCTGGAGTTTCTGGGATGAAATTGTACAGGAATCTCAGTCCACAGTTTCCTCAATCGCTGCGGAGACGGAGCTGTCACTGAATCTGACAGAGCCCTGCACTCCCCGGTCCGCCGACCCTGTGGAATGGTGGAAACACAACGCAATCAGGCCTCCTAATCTCGCAGCGATCGCGATGTCTTTTCTTGGAGCTCCGCCAAGCAGTGTTCCCTCCGAGAGGCTGTTCAGTTCTGCTGAGGATCTCCACGGAGACCATCGCTGCAGACTTCTCCCCGAGAATGCAGAGAGGCTGGTGTTTTTTTTTTTTTTTTTTTTAAATAATGCAATTTGCCCAGAGTAAACTACAGGTATTAAATACAGTTTGAATGATCTCATCAAAAACGCACGAATATGCTATGGAGTTTGTACTGTAGTCAAATTGCACACAGAAAATACAGATATAAGTTTAAGGTTTCTTAAACTTTGTGCATATCTCAAATAGATTTGCATAAGGTCATCTAATAATGGCCATAAATATGCTATGAATCATTTTAGTTAAAAAAAAAAAAAAAGATTTTACAGCACTGTAAAAATAAATGTGGCAAGATTTTTTTCAATCAGGTTGTCTTGTCTGATTTGTCATAAGTCCATGTTTGATAAACATAAATAGCTACTATTCGGTATTCAGTCGAATACCAAAAAAAATGGATTCGTCACATCCCTAGTTTATTAACCAGTGAAACCCCAGAATCTTATGGAGAAAAGTTGGAAACAGTATCAAGTCTACATGGTGTTCTCCAATTTACCAAAACAAGTAAGACTTTACACACGGGAGGTACAGAATAGGATCGACTCTAAAAGACACACACACACATACACACAAGCACACGCCAGGAAAAACTTCAATTTCACACAAATTTTTGACTGAAGAGCAACAACAGTGATTTACAGAGACAAACAAAAATACATGAAGTACAAGTAATTCTTAAAATTTGGTTTTTAATCAAGGAAATGCAAGGCAACATTATAATAACTCACCTTTCTGTAATCCAGTCTTCACTGTAGCCTGAGGAACTGTTTCAACCTGTTTGGACAGAAAAATATACCATTAACAATGAATTTTTTTCACTTTTAATTAACAGAGGGAAAAAATAATACTTCCATCAATCTAAGTAATGATGAGTGATTAATGTATCTGAAATCTGAACTCCGTCCCATCTTCTGGGTAAAGTTCTCTGTCTCAAGGTCAGGGAGGGTTTAAATCCTAGCTGCCTGGGCTGAATACCAAGTGACAACACACAGCCACATGCTTCCTAGCAAAGACTTTTCCCACCATTCCCTTGGTATATGAAGAGAACAAGAATCCTTTTCTCAGTGTCTGGGAGGCAAGAGAGGGGTTGTTTCTGCAACCAGCCCCGATGTTGCTATAAACCCCTCCCGCCCCAAAGACGTTAGGATAAATTTTTACTTACTATGATACTCAGGTTAATGTAACTCACGCCACTTTAAGACCCTTCCGCGCCTGCACTCACAGCTAAGTTGCTGGGAATCAGGACCCTCTCTGTAGAGAGTGCTACAGGGCTCCATACAGCTGGAAGCTCAATACTTTTGCTGCTAGTACAAACTTAAGAAAATAAGTTTGTGATATTGCAAAAGCACTTTCTTGAGTGTCTTATGAACAGTGTCTTGATCCTACATTAGGAGAGCGAGATCAGAAGTTATTCTGCCAATGTATATGTACAACACGTGGTAATTTGAGGACTGAACCATTGGAATTAAAGAAAGGATGCTGTTTGGAGGAGTTCCTGTTTTAGCTATGAGTTGAATTTTATGTTTCTTTAAGATGTGGTGAAATATGCATGTTGAAACACATTTTGTAAATATTTAAGGATTGTTCTAAGCTTTTTAAAAAAATTTTTTATTTTTTTTACAACAGGTAAAAAAACATACAACAGAAGTGCTTTTATAAGATACAATTAGTAATACAAATATAAAATCTTCTAAACAATCACTGGTATTGTTCTACTACTAACTATTAACACAGTGGTATTAACAATTTGTCCCACTTTTTATACTCATTCTGCTTATTAATTTTAAACTGACTGGTCACAGAATTTGGGAACCAGCTGGAAAAAATCACAACTTTGTTTTGGTAATGAATGCTATAGATTTGCAAGAGCTTAGAAAGATTTTTTGGAATATAATTTCCTAAGTATGAAAGTTAATTATGATAAATGAATGACAAATTAGTATATTATTTAAATTTTAGTTAAATGTTTCTGGGAAAATTGTTTTACATGCTTGGAAATACCATAGAGCACCCACAAAATCACCTTTTAAGTGTGGAAGTTTAAAATTATGAAGGAAATAATTGGAATAGAAAAGTTCACAATTCCATATTAAGTGGTTTTAAAAATATAAAGCTTATTGGAACAAATACTATCCAGAATTCTTTTTGTTTAATAGCAGCTATCTGGGCTATACAAAATGGATATCTTCCACTTTAAAAAAATTCTTATTGTGAGTTTAATTTAAAGGAAAAATGGTTTCTAAAAATTTCTTTGAAAAGGTAATTTAATATGTATATTATTACATTGGTTGCACTGGTTTAATAGCTTTCAGTCATATATCCCTCCTCTTTTTTGTTTTTACTTTAATAGGGTTTCTCTGATAACCCAATCACAGGTGAGTGCCATTCCACTGGGAAAATAACATTCCAAAAAATCTGTGATACCAACAGAAAAACCAGATCATCTATGATTATCTGTGTCTTAAATATAACTCTTATAGTTAAACTGATTTGATTTGTTTAAAAAATAAAAACAATACATACCAGCAGCTTAAACAAAAAAATCAAAATTTAAAAGGGCAGGGGCGACTCAGTGATGGTTCCAAATAAAAATCATGAAAACATTAAATCATTTTGCTCATAACAGAAATTTCAAAATAAATGTGAGGGATTCTTTAAGAGTCTTGTACCACTGGCTTCGCATCTCCTGAAGCCTGACTATTTTCTGTGAAAATGCTTGAAGCAGAATCACAGGGATGGTTGTATTAGAACTGGGCACTGGAACTCACCAGGACAGAAGCATAAGAATAGTCCAGAAAAAGAGAACCCAGTGAGGGGAAAGTTTCTCTTTCTTTTAAGATACCATATAAGCCACAACATTTACAAATACAATGTTTTAACTCTCTACATGTAGGAAGCCAACCTGCTCCTTTTTGATCTTCTTCTTTGGCACAACCTCAGTGGATTTCTCTGATTCAGATCGAGTTCTAATTGATCTTCTCTGTTGCTTCTTTTCTACTGAGCCTAAGAGATGATTTAAAGAAACAAAAAATAAAAACTCATTTAAGGATGACTTGACATTTATGTAGTTAAGATTTGACCCAATTCCCTGTTTGTTTTTTTTTTAATCTATTACTTTTTCCCCCTTTGGTCTTTTAATTATAAGTCACTAAAAATTTAATCAGTCCTACATATTTAGCATTTTAACAAATAAGTTAAATTGATTCTATATGTAAAATGCTTAACAGTGTTTGGTGCACTTATATAAGTTTTTGCTACTGTTATATTATTAACAATAAAAAGGGGGGAAAGCAGGAAAGGCACAAAAATGTGGCCAAAGCCAAATCATTAATTTGGATGTCAAGGGACATGTTCTATTTTAGAAATAATTAGTTATGAAAAAGTATTTGAAACAAATTAGCAAGTTTTTCACGTTAAATAGTAAAAGAGAATATTTTTAAACAGTAAAATTCTTTAGAAATAAACATTAAAAAACTCACATGGACCCCATTTTGGAAAGGATAAAACTTAGACTGAAGACCACAACTTGAAAGAACACTAAGTCAGGAATGATTCATTCTGTGATCCTGAGAAGGAATGACGCCTTCAGCGCAGCTGTTCTCCATCTTCTCAGTGCTTGGACCACCCAAATGGCCCTTCCTAGACAATAATCACCTTTCACTTGCCACAGGGGAAAGCTCCTATCAAAGCAGGCAGAAGCTACTTCAATAAAGCCATTCACATTACCTTTATATTTTGTGGTTTCATTGTTCTTGCCTATGTGTACATGGTTTCCTTCACCTTAGTTCAAAGCCAAAATGAAGAAGGATACCACTACTTCTATTCTGGGGAAGGAGGAGGTAGTCTGACACTAAAAGCTGTGGTTAATTTCTACCAGAGAAGTCACAAATGAAGGTGTTGGCTCCTTCCTTCGCTCTGACTCTTCTTACACTGAAGGAATGTTTACTGAGACAACGGAACTCCTACCCTCACAGTCACCCGAGTATCCCCCAAATCAGAACCGCTTAAAACAAAAAGCTCTACTTGTTTTGAAAATGTCAACATAACCGTTCCATCAAGTACAGATTGCATCTGATCTACTATCTTATAGAAAATAAGGCAATATGACTTCTTAACACTGTTCTGAAAGCTACCCGAAGAACACATAAATTCTCCATTTAAAACCACTAAACAGTACTATGTTTAAGTCCTAAGAGAGAGGAAGGAAGCATCTCTGAACTTGGAAAATAGCTTAGAAATGCAAATAGAATTCTTAAAAACACAGAAATTAGCAGTACCATACACTCTGTCTCCTAAATTTACTAGGAAAAGGCCCAAGAATTCTCCCTAAGTAGCTAACCCCAACTGAGATGACACAATTGGTTTCTGAAGAGAGATCAAGTCTCTTTTCTCAGTTTTCAACTATTGAAGTTATTTTCACAAAAAGCAAAATGGTCACTTAAAAAGGCAAAATCTGCTCATCAACCACAGCTGGTAACCAAATTTAAAGCAGGGTCAAAGCTTTAGAGCACTCATTAATTTACAACCTAAATATAGTGCCTGTCTAAGGAAGAACTGAGTATAACCTTTCACTTTACCTTTCACTTAGAAAAAGAAGAAAAAAATCATAGCAGAACTTAAATCTTAAAGGAAAAAAGACTACATGAATGTTCAGTAGCCGAGGGGAAGGAAAAAAATAAAGCTTCATTAAAAATAAAAGTATAGGGGCACCTGGGTGGCTCAGTCGGTTAGGTGTCTAACTGTTGATTTCACCTCAGGTCATGATCTCATGGTTCATGGGATCAAGTTCCAAGTTGGGATTTGTGCTGACAGTGAGTAGCCTGCTTGGGATTCTCTCTCTCCCTCTCTCTCTGCCCATTCCCTACTCATGATCTCTCTCTCTCTCTCAAAGTAAATAAACATTAAAAAAAGTATAATATTTAAGATGAGTCTAATATGAAGATTACTTTCTCCCTCATTACAATATAGTTATTTAAATAAAGATCCCCCTATCTAAATATCACACTTAAATTCAGACAAATTACCAACAGTTTAAAAGAAAGATAACAAAACTGAGATACCTAACTATGGGGAGCTGAGGCCAAAATTTTAATTTTTAATTTTTTAATTTATTTTAATTTTAATTTTTAATTTTTTTTAAATTTACTTTTGGCAGAGCACAAGTGAGGGAGGGGCAAAGAGGGGGAGGCAGAGGATCCAAAACAGGCTTTGCTCTGACAGGCTAACAGCAGCGAGCCTGATATGGGGCCTGAACTCATGAATCATGAGCTCATGACCTGAGCCGAAGTCAGATGCTCGACTGACTAAGCCACACAGGCACTATCTTCCCCCCGCCCAAATTTTTTTTTAATCTTCAAAGAATGGAACAAATGTTTTCAATTATAGCTAATTAATGCAAAAATCTTTTAAGTCCACTTATTCATTTCTTTAACATCATTATTTTCATTTTTTATACAGTATTTTGAAAAGATACAAGTTCTGGACTTCACTCTCCTTACTTTAATGCAACTTCTCTTCCCAACTCAACTTTGGATAATGTTTAGTATGCCCCATCCAATATACGTCCCATCTCCCTACCACCACCTCTCCCTGTCTTGTAGCTCCCCTCACTTCTTTTTTTTAAGAAAGCAACCCCAACTTCTTTCTTGTTATTACCTCTTATAATAGTAAGAATTTTCCTCAAAGTTTCCCTTACAAAAATATTGGCTCTTTAGTGCCACTCCATCGCAATTCTGCCTTAGTTACTACTGATTGAAGGCTACTACCTTAGTTCCCAAGGCTTTAATCCTTTTCTATAAAATTACTTGGTTCATTCTTTGATTTCATTCCAAAAAACTTTTAAAAGAACAAGGTGAAACAAACTTCCTTCTCCTAAACTAAGATTCCAAATGACCAAACCAGCTGACAATCTAACTCTTTTGATGGCTATATGAAGCAGCAGTATAGAAACCAAACCCACCAGATACTCAGTTAAATTATATGATCCTTAGTAAGTCAATCCCTTATAAAAATTACTTTGGCCATTCCAAAAGCACAATCTTTCTGAATATAGGTATTTCTCTTTTATCTTTATGTTTTTAAATTTTTTTTAATGTTTTATTTATTTCTGAGATAGAGAGAAAGACAGCGTGAGCAGGGGACGGTCAGAGAGAAAGGGAGACACAGAACCTGAAGCAGGCTCCAGGCTCTGAGCTAGCTGTCAGCACAGAGCCTGACGCGGGGCTTGAACCCACAAACCATGAGATCATGACCTGAGCTGAAGTCGGATGCCCAACTGACTGAGCCACCCAGGCGCCCTGTTTTTTAATTTTTTTTAATGTTTATTTATTTTTGAGAGAGAGAGAGCAAGAACACAGCAGGGGAGGGCAGAGAGAGAAGGAGGCAGAGAATCCCAAGCAGTCTCTGTGCTATTAGCACTAAGTCCGATATGGGGCTCAAACCCATGAACCGTGAGATCATGACCTGAGCTATAGTGAGATGCTCAACCAACTGAGCCGCCCAGCTGCTCCTAAGCATTTCTCCTTTAACCCAGAATAATATAGCTTGTTTCTCAACTCATGGTATCTGTTAATCAGAGAACAGAGTACAATAGGAGACTTAGGCCTTAGTCCCCTAGTTATTAACATCTAAACATATCTAAGAAAAAAAAAAAAAAGCACAGGCATCTGTTGATTAGTTTCTACTAAGAGATGGAGGAAATAGTAAAGATGTGTTAATAATGCTGGAAAAGTAAAGCTGTTTTTCTCATGCAAAGAGAAATAATCAAATGATGCATTTACTAAGAAGTGTATAGACTTCATAACTGTATTCTTTTAATTACAGAGCCCTCCTATTAAATTCCTATAGGAAAAATAACTTACTATGAATAAGGCTCCCTAGCTCCTAAATTATTCTTTTCTATTGAAGTAATTGCTTTTATACTTTAGTTTTTTAAATGTAACTTGATTTGGTAACTAAAAGTTTCTTAGGAACACAGCTACCATGTTATAGCAGAACAAAGTTAATGATGCCTCAAAATGGATCTATATATTCTTCATTCATTACCCACCTGTAGGACCAGATGTTGCTTCAGGAGATGATATATTCTGAGTTGCCTTTTCATTTCTCTGGTTTGGTGTGGAAATTATAAGTCTGTCTTGTCCCCTGACACTTATTTCTGTTTTGTTACCAATTCCCTTCAAAATAAGGAAAAATAAAAAATAGCTGATTACTAGACAAATGGCATCATTGACTTATAAAGACAGCTTTAAGATGATCATAATTTGCCTGAATTTTACTTTGTCTTTGACTGCAGCTAATTTATCATCCTAGCCATTATCAGAGCAATTTAATGAAGTCATCAGGATGTTTTCTAAAATATACAATGAGATTATGTGGGGGGAAAAAAACCCTATTTGTCTAACTCTGCACGATGCATATCACTAAAAAATGAACCCATATCACCTAATTTTCTTTCAAAAACAAAATGTTTTCTGGTCTGAATAGTCTCTCCCTTTACCCATATCATAGGAAAAGAACTCAAGTTGTTTTCATTTTATTTACTACCCTACTACGCAGCTAAAAATGTCAACACATCTTGAAAGACAAGAATATCCTTAGATACAGAAATCTGACGTTCACAGTGACCACAATGTGAACCCAATAAGCAATGAGGAGCAGACAAAAAGCAGGTACAATTTTAGGTGTTTTTAATGCAATCAAGGAAAGGAGTGATTTGTAAATATATGTATTTTTAAGGCCTTCATTTTTAGAAGATCAGTTTTCTCTCAAATTTCATTTAAATAGCACTCTTGGGGGGAGGTGTGTGACAAAGTCTTATTTGTGCACCAAAAGCAGATAAAAACCAGCACTCCAAGAATGAAGCCAATTTGCATTAAAAGAAGATGCGAACTATTCATTTGTCATTTAAAGCTACCAGCAGAATCAAGTGGAGACTGTAAGTTGTTTCTCCAAGTAGCTTAGTCTTATCAAAATCAGCGGAACCTCTAGACAGAAAGAAGTTAATAGAGAACCCTTATGCTTAACTCTAGAAAAATATATCACTTGAGCACCAGGTGTTGTAAGTGATGAATCACTGAATTCTACACCTGAAATATTACACTGTATGCTAACTATTTGTAATTTAAATAAAAACTTGGAAAAAAGAAAAAATATCACTGATAAAGCATACCTATATTATTTTAAGTGTGCATATAACAATGTTAGGAAATAAGCACAATGTTCTTTAAAAGCACACACTCATGACACTCAAATTCACAAGTCCACAATTGTGGGAAGGGTTGGGAGGATAGTGAAGAGGGATATGGAGTAAACATAACAAATGTTATGAAGTTTTAAAGTCTAAAAAGCTAAAATACAAGTGCCCTAAATGGAAGCTCAGGTCTGGGTGATGCAGGTATTCAGTTTGAAGAGGTATTTTCACCCCATTACCCAAGCTATCACCACAGTTAATTAAAACAAACACAGTTCTGGAACTTCTCTAAAATGCATTAGCTATCCCAAGCCAACATGAACCTAACAAAACTGCTGGTGCAACCAAACAGATCAGCAGGTACAACTATTACAATGGTTAATTCAGATAACTGATAAAAATAATTTTGTAAGAAGCACAATTTGAGGCTAAGAAAAATTAACTATACAAACTAGAAACAGGCAAAGTGCCCGGGTTTTTCCTACAACTTTGGGAGCTAAGCTCAATTTTGGCTGAACAGCCCAAGATTAATCTAGTACAGATGGCATATTACAAAAGAGGGAAAAAAAGAAGGAAAACATAGCCTTTTTTGCCCCCTCTTTCTTAAACACAGTAAACTGAGTATACATTTCAAATTCAGCAGACAAAAGGGTAAAGTATGACCTTATGTTGTTTGTGGGGGTTTTTTTAATGCCAAGGTTGACTACTTATTAATTACTGTTGCCCCAAATTACCCATAAAAAAAGGAGGTACCTTTGTTGAATAAACAAATTGATCGATAAATTTCCCATCTCCTGTAGCATTCTGAAGAGCAAACACTTGTTCAATTTTCACAACTGGAGACATGTTACACTTCTGCAAATCCAGGCTCCCTTTGTGCATTGTAATGGAAGCTGGTAAAGATTTCCTCGCTGCAGCCGTTTTCCAGGCTATTTTCACAGGAGGTGGTTCTTCCTCTTCCACACTTGTGTGCCGCCTCTGGCTCTGTCTCCGAATTTCAGTACTTGATGGTGAGGAGGCTGCCTCACCTGCATTGGTCTGTTCTGGCTGAGTATTCAGCACTGACCTTGGTCTTCGTGTTTTCTTAACTTCGGCTTTGGAGGCAACATTCTTCTTTCCTTGGGATAAAGCCTCATCAGGTTGTTTATCTATATAGATAAAAGTATACTGTTCTATTCTTTCCTCTCGGGTCATCTTCAATGCTTTCTCTGCATGGGCAATGCCAATATCCCACTGAGCACGTTCTCTCTGAGGTCTGGGTTTCCGAATCTTTAACAAAAAGACACAGGCATTATTAGATACACTTTAATCTAATTAGTACATTTAAACCAATATTTATTTCCCTAGGGGCGCCTCAGTGGCTCAGTCGGTTAAGCGTCCGGCTTTGGCTGAGGTCATGATCTCGTGGTTTGTGGGTTCAAGCCCCGCGTCGGGCTCTGTGCTGACTGCCAGCTCAGAGCCTGGAGCCTGCTTCAGATTCTGTGTCCCTCTCTCTGACCCTCCCCTGCTCGCGCTGTCTCTCTCTCTCGCTCGCTCTCCTAGAAATAAATAAAACATTTAAAAAAATAAATAAATAAATAAATAAATAAAAAATAAAATAAAATAAAATAGACCAATATATATTTCCCATGTGATCCTGTCATCTCTCCAGGTAACATAAGTATGTTCACGTTCTTCAGTAAAACAAGTGAAATGTCCTAACTCAGTAACTTTGATAAGTCAGTGGTATGCAGGTCTACTGTCTTTTATGTATCTGCTGGACAAGTCCCTCAAAGAGGGAGCCGTTCTCCTCAAATTATGTTCATAAAAAGCTAGTAATAATGAGAGCAAAGGGAAGAAACATTACAGAACGATTACTTTCAGAGGCTAATAAAGCAGTAACATTAAAAATGACACCCCAGGGTGTTTGGGTGGCTCAGTCGTTAAGCATCTGACTTCAGCTCAGGTCATGATCTCACAGTTTGTGAGTTCGAGTACTGCTTTGGGGAAACATGAGCTCTGCTCAAGATGAGCCCTGCTTTTCTCTCTCTCTCTGCCCCTATCTTAATTGTGCCTTCTCTCTCTCTCAATAAAAAAAAAAAAAAAAAAAAAGGTGGGGGGTGGGGGCCCTGGGTGACTCAGTCGGTTAAGCATCCAACTTTGGCTCAGGTCATGATCTCATGGTTCATGGGTTCGAGCCCCGCGTCAGGCTCTGTGCTGACAGCTAGCTCAGAGCCTAGAGCCTGCTTCAGATTCTGTGTCTCCCTCTCTCTCTGCTCCTTCCCTGCTTGTACTCTGTGTCTCAAAAATAAATAAATTATAAAAAAAAATAAATTAAAAAAAAAAAAGAAGTAATGTGTGAGAAAAAATATAAACCTGAATCAGTTTCCATAGGTCTCTATCACTGTTGATCAGAGGACTTTGAGGTGGCAAGACAGGTAAGAAAACTTTGAATAAAGTATGTGAGATGACTAAAGCAATTAGGAATTACCCAGGGGGTTAGACTGGAGGTCTAAAATTAGCTAAGGAAACTATGAGAGGGGACCGTATATATGGAACATTGATGTATAAATCTAGAAAATGTTAAGTCTGATAAACTTAATCAGAATCTTCATGATAAAATTTAGCCTTTAATGTAAAAATGTCATAAATTTCTGAATCACAAGAGACCCACCCTAAAATTAGTTGCGTTTAAAAATGTCAACCAGAGGGGCACCTGGGTGGCTCAGTCGGTTAAGTGTCCGACTTCAGCTCAGGTCATGATCTTGCGGTTCATGGGTTCAAGCCCCGCATCTGGCTCTGGGCTGACAGCTCAGAGACTGGAGCCTGCTTCAGATTCTGTGTCTCCCTCTCTCTCTGCCCCTCCCCCACTTGCTCTCTGTCTCTCTCTCAAAATAAAATAAAAACATTTAAAACAATTTTTTTAATAAAATAAAATTTAAAAATGTCAACCAGATAGATTATCAATAGTCGATATCCTAATTCTAAAATATCCACCACCACAAACATATTTCTTGGTTCTATCACTAAGTGTGACCTCGGTTGAACCCATTATTTAAGCTTTCTGTGCCTCAATTTCTTCATTTGTAGAAATAGGAATAATAGGGGCACCTGGGTGGCTCAGTCAGTTAAGTGTCCAGCTTCAGCTTAGGTCATGATCTCACGGTTCATGGGTTCGAGCCCCATGTCCAGCTCTGTGCTGACAGCTAGCTCAGAGCCTGGAGCCTGCTTCAGATTCTGTATCTCCCTCCCTCTCTCTGACCCTCCCCTGCTCACTCTCTCTCTCAGAAATAAATAAATTATAAAAAAAAAAAAAAGAAATAGGAATAATAGTATCTACCTCACTTAGGTTGTTATGATGGTTAAATGAATTAATATACATAAAATGCTTAAAACAGTGTCTGTCTCACTAAATATTTCAGAAGCTTTACTTTCACAAAACATTTTACTATAGGACTAAAGGGAATTATGGAAAGATGTTGAAAAAGGAAAAAATAAAATACTCTGGCAAAATCAACATTTCACTAGCATCTACTAGTCTTATGTATATTTATTCAATTCAAAATAAAATCCAACATTGTACTAAGCAGAGTTCAAGTTTTTAATAGTACTCTGTTGTTTACATGAAATATAAAACTTATTGACATACCTAACAATAAATTATTAAAACTGAATTTAGATTAAAATAACAAATCATTCTAACAACTGTCTGAATTCAAGTATGAAAAATTCTACTAAATTATTAAATCCCCTAACAACCATACTCAAACGGTAATGTTAATATGTTGTCAGTTACCTTCTGTTTCTCAGAGTGGTTGCTGGCTTGTTTGGTTGCTTCAGCCAATAATTCTTCATACTGTTTATGGCCTTTATACTCTCGTACTCGCTTTTCATGAACCCAGGCCCTCTCTGGCTGGTTGCTAAAAAACTGGACGTGATATTCTCGGGCACCTGTAAGTAAAAATTCTTATTAAGCATTTCAGACCATAAGCATCCACATATACCCTGCCAAAAGAGTGAACCGAAGTCAGGTTCACTAGCATTACTCCTATTAAAACTTGTACACTTTGCACTGTCCAAAGATACAATCCAACACCAGCCAGTTACACAACTAATAATTACTGTAAAAAAATCACTCCCAAATGATTAAAATTAGTACAGCAAGTTTTAAGAGAAAGGAAATCAGAAATTCTGCTAATTATCAGATTTTTTATCTTGGTTACCCAACTTATTTTTACTTGTCTTAAACCTTTTTACAAACAAATCTGTGTCTAAATAAACATTTTTTTACTTCAAAAAATGTAGAATATATTTTCTTGGACTTTAAAAGTGCTGGTCGGGGCCCTGGGTGGCACAGTTGGTTAAGCATCTGACTCTTGATTTCAGCTCAGGTTATGATCTCACGGTTGGTGAGTTCAAGTCCTGCATCTGGTTCTGTGCAGAGAACATGGAGCTGTCTTGGGATTCTCAATCTCTCTCTCTCTCAAAAATAAATAAACTTAAAAAGTGCTGGTCAAATTGCTTTTCTGGCTACATGAAAGTGTGCTATACAAACTTAGGGGAGGGGAAGAGGCCACAAACTCATGGATCCTGTGAGGTCAAAACTATCTTCATAATAATACCAAGATGTTATTATCGTTTCACTGTGTTGACATTTGCACTTAATACTTCAAGGACAATGGTGGATAAGACTGCTGGCATGTTAGCAAAAATAAAACCAGAGAGTGACAACAAGCTATACTAGTATCACATTCTTCACAGCCACACACTGGCAGTTAAATAAAAAAAAAAAAAAAAAAAAGCCAGTTTTCTTTAATGTCCTTGATGATGCAGTAGAAGTGATTAATTTCACTAAATTTCAACCCTTGGATACAAGGCTTTTAATATTCTGTGTGCTGAAACAGGAAGTATGAATAAAGTACATACTGAAGTATGACTTGAAGAGAAGTACTTGTGTGATTGAGTTGCAAGGCCACTGGCCACTTTTTCATAAAACACCATTTTTCTTTGAAAGAATGACTGACAGAAAACCTATGGTTATTTGAAATTGAGCATTTGGCAGATATTTCCTCAAAAACAAACAAAGCAAGTTTGCAATTTCAAGGAAATCATTGACAGTATTCATTGCCAATAATAAAATTTGATCTTTCAAGCAAAAATTAGAATTTTTGAAAACCAGTATTATCCCTATGAGTCTTCCAAATTCCCAACAATCAAAGAATTTCTGATGAAATAACTGGTCATGTAAACTAATATGGTTAAAAATATATCTATAAAGGAATGTGTCAACATTTGGAAGATACGTCTTACTTGGTAAAACCAGTATTTATTAAATGGCCAATATATGATGTTACAAAATCATGTAAAGTGAAAGATTCATTCAAAGTGCAAAACAGGGGGCGCCTGGGTGGCTTAGTCGGTTAAGCGTCCGACTTTCGCTTAAGTCATGATCTCGCGGTTTGTGGGTTCGGGCCCTGCGTCAAGCTCTGTGCTGACTGCCAGCTCAGAGGCTGGAGCCTATTTCAGAGTCTGTGTCTCCCTCTCTCTCTGACCCTCCTCTGCTCACGCTGTCTCTCTCTCTCTCTCCTAGAAATAAATAAAAAATATTTAAAAAAAAAAAAAGGTGCAAAACAGAACCAATGGATTCTAATGTAACAAAGTGCAGGGGCACCTGGGTAGCTCAGTCGGTTAAGCGTCCGACTTCCGCTCAGGTTATGATCTCACAGTCCATGGGTTCGAGCCCCACATTGGACTCTGTGCTGACAGCTAGCCCAGAGCCTGTCTTCAGATTCTGTATGTCCCTCTCTCTCTGACCCTGCTCATGCTGTCTCTATTTATCTCTCTCAAAATAAAATAATGTAACAAAATGCAAAAAGTTTACTTGATATGATTTTAGGTTCTCTATTCCAACTAACATACCTCTTGTTGAGTTTGGTGTAATATCAGAGAAATATATTCACAATTATCTAAAAAGGCTATTAAAATACACTATCCCTTTCCGACTACACATCTGTCTGAGGCCAGATCATCTTCATGTATTTCAACCAAATCAACATATCATAACAGACTGAATGTATAGGCAGATATGAGAATCTAGTATCTTCGCTTAAGTCAAAGTTACAAAGTTACAAAGAGATTTGTAACAATGTAAAACAATAGTATTCTTCCTCAATACTTTTGAGGAAATATTCACTTCTCATAAAAACATATAATGAATTATTATTATTATTTTAGAGAGAGCACACAGGCAAAAGTGGGGGAGGGGGCAGAGAGAGAGAGACAGAGAGAGAGACAGAGAAAGAGACAGAGAGAGAATCTCAAGCAGGTTCCACACTCAGCCTGGAGCACAGCATGGGGATCCCACCCTGGGAACATGACCTGAGCCGATATCAAGATTTAGACACTCAATTGATAAGCCACCCAAGTGCCCCTGAAAATGCTCTAAAATTAGATATAGAGGGGCACCTGGATGGCTCAGGTGGTTAAGTGTCTGACTTATTTCAACTCAGGTCATGATCTCATGGTTGGTTAGTTCTAGTCCTGCATCGGGCTCCGTGCTGTCAGTGTGGATTCTCTCCCTCTCTCTCTGAGTGCACACACACACACTCTCTCTCAGAATAAATAAATAGATAATCATTAAAAAATACTTTATAAAAAATAAATAGAATTAGACGTAGTGCTGGCTGCACAACTCTGTAAATATACTAAAAATCACTAACTTGCACAGAGTTGCCCATGTACCTCATATATCAAGAAAGCTGTTATTTTAAAAACTACTGCAGAAAAAGAACATTAAAAATATCAGAATATACTTTAATTTAAATTTTAAAAATTTCTAAATTCTAAGAATTCCAGTTTTCTCAGTAATGCAAACAAAAATCAGTTTTTCCAGCAGTAACGTAGAAGACTGCCTAGGGTATAACCAGACCAAATTAGACTGATTCATAAAACTAACCTTAAATACTTCCTTTGAAATATAGATGCAGCATAAATTGTGCTTTCACTTGTGTCCCATGAAAAAGATGAAATTAGCAGGTTTTCAGAAAGGAACTACACGTGAAACTACATAATCTCAAAAGCATGCTTTCTAAGGGGAGAGAATCGAAAAGCTACAACTCTCACATGATAATATCTCAGAGAGCTCTAGAAACCAAGATAGGTACATGGATTATTTTACTTAAAAAGGTTTGGCCCTAAAAGACACAAGAAAAGATGCTCACCATCATTAATCATCAAGGAAATCCAAATCAAAAACTAAAATGAACTATCACCTTACATCTGTCAGAATGGCTAAAATTAATAATACAAGAAACAACAGGTGTTGGCAAGGATATGAAGAAAGGGGAACCCTTTACACTGTTGGTGGGATTGTAAACTGGTACAGCCACTCTGGAAAAAAATATGGAGATTCCTCAAAAAGTTAAAAACAGAACTATCTTATGATCCAGCAATCGCACTACTGGGTATTTATCCGAAGAATACAAAAATACGAAGTCAAAGGGATACATGCACCCTTATGTTTATAGTAGCATTATTTACAATAGCTAAGATATGGAAGCAGCCCAAGTACCGCTGATTGATGAATGGATAAAGAAGTGGTGTGTGTACACACACACACACACACACACACACACACACACACACACACAGGAATATTACTCAGCCATCAAAAAGAATGAAATCATGCCATTTGCAATGACATGGATGGAGCTAGAGTATTATGCTAGGCAAAATAAGTCAGTTAAAGGAAGACAAATACCACGTGATTTCACTCATACATGGAATTTAAGAAACAAAACAAAGAGAAAAAAAATAAGAGAGAGACAAATCAAGAAACACACTCTTAATTATAGAGAACAAATTGATGGTTATCAGAGGTGAGGTGGGTGGGGGGATGGGCTAAATAGGTGATGGAGATTAAGGAGTGCACTTGTGATGAGCACTGGGTGATGTATGAAAGTGCTGAATTACTATACTGTATACCTGAAACTAATATAACACTGTATGTTAACTGGAATTATAATAAAAACTTAATAAAAGAGAAGGTGGCTTGGTCCTTTTGGGAAATCCTTGTCCCTTTCTACTCCCATTCATAAAAATCATAGATCATTAAACCTGCAAGGTATTTCAGAGATTACTAGTCCAAAACCCTGAATTATAGTAATAAATGAAAGAACTAGGAAGGACTGCCTTCCTCCAACCTGAATTCCATGAACTTCCCTTTCAATATATAGTATGGGTGGCTCGGTTGGTTAAGCATCCGACTTCAGCTCAGGTCATGATCTCACAGTTCGTGGGTTCAAGCCCCGTGCTGGGCTCTGTGCTGACAGTTAGCTCACAGCCTGGAGCCTATCTTCTGATCCTGCATCTCCCTCTCTCTCTCTGTCCGTCCCCTGCTCATGCTGTGTCTCTCTCTCTCAAAAATAAATAAAAAACATTACAATATATATATATATATATAGTATGTTTAAAAGTAGAGATTCTGGATAGGTCTCTCTGAAACTCTATTTACTTTTTCGAAATGTTAAGGATAATAAGAGTACCTACTTCATAATGTTGCTGCTATGTGGACTGCATAAAATACATAAGAGAATTGCTTAACATAATGCCTTGCGCAAAAGTAGACATTCAACAATGCTCGGGGGTTTTTTGTTGTTGGTTTTTTTTGTTTTTTTTTTTTTTTACATCTGCCCCATTGATGCTTTCAGTTACCCAACCTTTAATTAGCAGGTTATAATGACAGATAATTGCCTCCTGTACCAGGGCAGATTACTGGCTATGTAGCACAAAAGTTACAGATATGGCTGATCTTGTCACAAATCTGACTTGCAAGACTTATTTAGACATTTTTTTCTTTTCATAACAATGAATGGGGAGGAAGACAAAAAATCTGAAGAAAAAAATAGGTGTAGAGTTGTCACAAATAATAAGGAACTCAACATGTAACAAGAGTGAGTTCACAAAACAAATATCCAAAAATAAATGCCAAGCTCAAACCTTCCTCTGGCTAACTAAGCAAGTCCATTCCAAATGCTAGAATCCCAGGAATCTAATCCACATGTTTTGGTCAAACCCATGAAAAGAAATAGAGGAAAGTTAAAAAAAAATCTTTTCTTAACATTAATATTCCTAAGGTAGGATTCTATGCTAAATAGCTAGATTCAAGCTGTAAGTCGATGTTGTACTGAATTTATAAGGATGTCTCAGTAAATTTACAGATTCAAAAATGGAGTGAAGGAGGCAAAAAAGCATCATGAAACTTTCATCAGGGTGATAAGCACTGTGTGGATAAAAACTACTATCCATAAGAGTCAATGATGAAACAAAATGTACAGCAAAAGCATGGCCCAAATGCCCACTAAGCTCATATAAGACATCCTTTTTTTGTTGTTGTTTCCATATAAGACATCTTATTACTTACCTATCTGCTTTCTTTTGGAATTCATATGAGAGGTCAGTCAGATAAAGGTTTTTAAAGAAGAAGCACAGAAGAAATTATAAAACAAAGGCAGAGTGGTATAAGCGAAAACAAGGACTGTCTCAGTTGCAGAGGCTTTCTGCCTGTTAAGATGACCAGAATTCTATCCCTGGTAATTAAAACCTGGTATTTTGCGGGCGCCTGGGTGGCTCAATCGGTTAAGCATCCGACTTCAGCTCAGGTCCTGTGAGTTCAAGCCCTGTGTTGGGCTCTGTGTTGACAGCTCAGAGCCTCAAGCCTGCTTCAGATTCTGTGTTTCCCTCTCTCTCTGCCCCTCCCCCACTCATGCTGTCCCCCTCCAAATAAATAAACATAAAAAAACTGATATTTTGGAGTCAGATTGTATACTGTGTGCACACTCTTATATACAATATTTAAGGTTCAATTCCCCCCCAGCCTTTTATTTAATATCTATTTATGCCTTTAGTTACCTCTTGTGTTAATTTTGGTATGAACCTCGAGCTGGGGATCACTTGAAACCATGCAAGGCCACCAAGGATAGGTTCCCACCTTAGACCAAACAAGATCGCCAACCTGGAACTTAACACCAGCAGACACTTCTGTTGTTGGAACAGAAGATAATATTGGCTGAACCTACAGGAAAAGGGGAAAAGGTCATAAAACTTTATTAGTAGAGAAAGTTAAAAAAAGAAATTATGTACAAGTACATTAAACACGCTAACCTAGTAAAATTTATCTTCAATTATACTTTCCCAGATACCTATCCATAACTAGCAAAAAGGAAGAGAAAGAAAATAATAAGCTTCACTCCAAATATTGAAAATAGGACTGATGCTCCTGATGTCTCATCCATAAGGGATCTTGAGAATTCACATGGTCCATTAAAAAGGTGTCATGAAAATATTTTAGTAACTTTGTAGGGTGACAGATGTTAATTAGATATACTGTGTTGATAATTTGGCAATGTATACCCACGCAAATCAATATGTTGTACACCTGAAGCTAATACAATGCTACATGTTGACTATACTTCAATAAGAAAAAGTAGTCATAGTTTTGAAAAGGAAAATAACTCCCTGAAAGTATCTACCTCTTAAATCAGCTTCAAGATTTATTTCAGTATAAGTTCTGAAGTCCAGAGGTATGGAACTATAATAATCTGTATAAAATGTATTATATTTTAATCTCCCTGCTTTCACCTTCTTACACCATACCTAGTTAGACAGTATTCAATATAGCAACTCACCGGGGGTTCTTCTTTTAGTACTATATCTTCTCTTGGCTTTTCTGATACAGTGTCAACCCTCTCGTTTGGTCTCTAGGTGAAAAGGTATAGATAAAAAAAATAAAACAGCAGCCAACCGAAGAATAGTGACATACACAAACTAAATCACAAAGAGGATAAAGGGCATTTATTAACTGAATAATGTAGGTAGTAAGGATACAACTTACGCAGTACATGATGTGTTAACATTCATGGTCTATTTCACACCATAGCTGTTATCTCTCATTTTATCACTTTTAAAACTTAATTTGTTGATTTTATTTATTTATTTACACATACATACCTATCAGGGTGCAGAAAAATTTTGAGCACTCTGAGACTGCTAGTAAGATATAACTTGGATTTTTCCTGAAGAGCAATTTGACATGTATGAAAAAGCCTTAAATTTTCAGACTCTGATCCAGAAATTCCACTTCTAAATACATATGTATGTTGAAAAAGCATGGAGAGGTATAAATACACACACACACACACACACACACACACACACACAGATATGCAAACCAGTCCTATTTATAAAAGCAAATTAGAATACAATCTAAATATCTAGAAACGCAAATTAGTTAAATAAGTTATAGTATAACTAGACAGTGAAGAAATATAAATGAATTTTAAAATGACATGGAAGGGGTGCCTAGATGGCACAGTTGGTGGAACATGTGACTCTTGATCTCAGGGCTGTGAGTTTGAGCCCTATGTTGGGTATAGAGATTATTTAAAAATAAGATCTTTGGGGCATCTGGGTGGCTCAGTCGGTTGGGCGTCTGACTTCGGCTCAGGTCATGATCTCATGGTTCATGGGTTCGAGCCCCACATCAGGTTCTATGTTGGCAGCTCAGATTCTGTGTCTCCCTCTCTTTCTGCCCCTCCCCCACTCATGCTCTGTCTCTGTCTCAAAAATAAATAAATTAAAAAAAAAAAAAGATCTTAAATACACACACACACATAAATAAAAGGACATGGGGAAATAACAATAAAACATTATCTGAAAAGAGTATATTGCAAAACAATCTGTACAGTACAATTCCAATTTTGGAAAAATAATTTATGTGCAAAGAAAAACTAGAATACCACCAGGTGATGGAAAAAGTGATTTTTTTTTCATGTGCTTTTCTGTATTTGTCAAATTGTCTATGATAAACATTATTTTTCTAATCATAAAATCCACAAATAGGTTACTTTAAAATTATTTTTCTGGAACCCTTAGGGATGGCAATTTGGAAGTATCTATCAAACTTCAAAATATGTCACTCAATTGCAATCCAGCAATTATATTTTAGGAAACTATTTACAGAAAACAAAATAAGAAAATCTAAGCAGAGGATAGTAAGTATAGCACTATTTCATGTCAGTAATATACATATCTATCAACATCTTGCAACTTTTTATTTTAAAATAGCCTGTATATGCCTTGAAAAGTATTGGATACATTTTTATATCAAACTGATTAAGAGTAGTTATCTTTGGGGAATGAGATTAGGGAAATGGTGATGGAAGATCTATCTACAGACATTTTAAGCTTATTTATTTATTTTGAAAGAGACACAGACGGTATGAGTGGGGGAGGGGCAGAGAGATGAGGAGACAGTGAATCCCTAGCAGGCTCTGCACTGTCAGTACGAAGCCGGAGGCTTGAACTCTCGGAACCATGAGATCATGACCTAAGATAAAACCAAGAGTCTGACATTTAACCTACTGAGCCACCCAGGTGCCCCAGAAAGATCTACATTTTTGTGTTACTTGTACTTTCTGTAAAAAGCATATTACTTTTATAATTTAAAGGACTTTTTAAAAACTTCTCAGTTGTCAAAGAACAGAATTTAATCTAGATGGCATAAAGAGAGACCCACCAAATTAGGTCTTAGATCCAACTTAAAAACATAAGTAATTTTAGGAGCTACTTAAAATTCTCAATTAATTCAATTAATTCAGGACATTGTTGTTAAGACCAGTAAAAATAAAGTTTTATTAAATAAAAAATTGTAGAAAGATTTGTAACTAAGGAAACAATAAGCCAGACTAATATCCTAATCCCCCAGTATCAGTCATTTACTCAACAGTACCTATAACTTTCCAGGCACTGTTCTCAAAGATGGGTATGCAATGATGAAACTAATAGATCTGAAGACCTTTCTGAGAAAGTAAATTATAATCTGAGAATCAAAGGACGAGTAGTCTAGTAAAAAGTGGGAAGAACATTCTAGAATGAAGGCATGGCATGTATGAAGTTCTTGGGATTTAAAATGATAGAAATTTCAGGGCACCTGGGTAGCTCAGTCCTGTTAAGCCTCTGGCAGTTCAGGATCTCATTGTTCGTGAATTCAAGCCCTACATCAGGCTCTGTGCTAACAGCTGGGAGCCTGGAGCCTGCTTCAGATTCTGTGTCTCCTTTTCTTTCTGCCCTTCCTATACTCACACTCGCTCGCTCTCTCTCTCTCTCTCTCTCTCTCTCTCAAAAATAAACATTAAAAAAATTTAAGAATAAAAAAGAAATTTCATGGTAGGAAACTGTAATGGTAGGAAGGCCATTACAACTGACTTAATTGCCCAAAGAAGAGAGAGGTTACAAGATGAGAGAGGGGAGACAGGTTACATTACGAGGGTCTCATAAGTATATTCAAATGTTTTATCTTTAGTGCAGTAAAAAGCCACTGAAGAGGATTAGGTAGAGAAGTAACACACACGACTTTTTGTATTAAAAAGATCATGTTAACTATCATGTGGAGAATAGAAGAGAAGCAGAATGTTTAATTAGGTTACTGAAATAGCCCAGGTGAAAAAAGGTAGTGGCAACTTGTTGATGGGCACAAAATTCACTGTCAGATGTGTCTGTGGTGGTACCATGTAACCCAATAGGACACACTCATTGAGCAAGGAAAGAAAAATCTGTGTTCAAATGAAAACTGTTTTCCTGATCACTGGTATAATAATAAAGCAGTTGGGAAATACTATCCATATTTGCATAGGTCCTTTCAGTAGCTTCATTTCAATCTACAGATACAGCTTAAGCCTTCACCTCAACTTCTCATTCTAACACTACTGCAGGAAGACAAGACCACTTGAGGAAGCACATATGCCGCTAAGAAAGCGAGTCACCCTCCTCCGCACATTCAATCTTCATGATGTCTGGGTGTAAGGGATCTCTGTAACTCCTTTTGAGGGCAGACAGATAAGAAGTGACTCATCTTTGCCAAACAACAAAATTGTACTATTATTGTAAGAACTGGTCTGAAGCTCATTAACATTTTTCCCTTTCTGGATTAAAGACAGGATTTCCTTCAAACCTTTTTATTATTCAAATACCTTATCTTTTTTTGATTGTTTTGGTTTGTTCCAACTTCAGGCTAGCTTGAAACACTGTTAAAGTCACTTTCACAGAACTAAAATGTTTATACAATCATTTTAAAAGGAAAAAAACGGCAAGGGAGAGAAACAAGCTTTAAGATTTAGTCTAAGCTTTCAAGACTATATTAAAGAAAGAAAAATAAGAGAGTCAAATAAGGATGCTGAAATGATAAAAAAGGAAATATACATTGCAAGATATGCTAATAAATGGGCAAAATAGAAATAATCTAGTAGACATTTATCTATGACTTGTGCTCAAAAAAAAAGGGTAAGAAGATAAACTAACAACATAGTATCACAAACACCAATTAAGGGAGTTTATAAGACAAAATGGTCAGTGGAAGTCAAATGCTTAGGAGTCAAAAACCTGAGTCAGAAAATGCCAACATATATATACTTCTAGGTATAATATCCATTTTCCATTAGTTGTTCAAAGGATAGATAAGCTTAAAAGAGATTAAAATCAAGTAAGGGCAAGAAATACCTTTTGGTACTAACAGTGTTGCTTTAGGGAGAGAGACTGAGAAAAAGATGACAGTGAATTAGCGCTCCTTAGTTTAAAATTTTTGATTTTATGGGTATATACCTCTTTTTTACATTTTTAGTTGATTCCATATGGAAAGACCTATATTCCAGGAAAAAATAACAAGAAGTTTCTTAAATAGGAAAAAATTGTTAAGAAAACAGCTAACATAAAATCACATCATCCAAAATATTTCTTTTTAAAAAATTTGGTCTAGTACTTTTATAAAAACCCAAGAGATTTATTAAAATGAATAATATGCACCAAATCTAGCAGAATTCCTAACCCCTAATAATTTTCAAAACATTAAGCAAAATCACATTCTTTTAAAAAACCCAAAACTTAAGTCAACATTTAAAGTGGAAAGAAAAATTCAAAGGCAATAAATTGTTCGTGCATTTTTCTATATTATCTTCTGAATAACTGTTTAAGGTCATAATCTTAAACACTAAAACATCTGTACAAAAAGAACATTTTGCATGTAAAAAATTTCCAAGAATTTTAAGACCTAATGCTCTGAGGCTAGAGAACCAAATATAACCTCTAACTTAGTGCTAATGGGACTGGAAGCTGCTATCTGGCTTTTTAGAAATGAAAATGGCAAGCTAAGAGTTAATGAGACTAGTCTTAGCGGATAAGCCCACTGAGGTGCTGGTGGAAGACCAATGTTTGAACAAGGCCTACACTCACATGCCTGAGGCATTACACCTGCCAGGGAGGAAGACATGCAGAAACATTTCCACATGTTTCTAATTTGATAGGAGGAAAAACAGCTCCACCAGCTTTACAAAATATACAATTTCAGTAGTGATCTCAGGTCTCCTGCTGCCTAGATGTTTGGACACACATTTTATTGTTGAGAAGATATGCTTAGGTTTTTCCAAATAAAAGCCACTCTTTAGAAGGCCAAACAGCTCAGAACTTATAGATAAAATACCAAGAAAAAAGAAAAGACAACAGTTGTGAGTGAAATCATTAAGTATCACTTTAATACATAAGGTATTACTTTAAATGAGATATATGAGTCGGCTTTTAGGGAAGAAAAAGACATAAAAAAACAAATCCAGCTTAAGGACATATCGAACTTTCCTCCAGGCACTCAGTTCTCATTATGCTTCCCTAAAGCATCTGAGGAGGGGAGCTGTCCAGTTATGTCAGCAGACTCTCACTGGGAATTCGCTTTCATTTCTAAGCCCTCTGTGATGCTAAACACCAAGTGCTCGGAGCCTTAGTAACAACAAGGAGGCACAAGGGTATCAAAAATTAAAACACGAAAAGTTGTCCTAAGGGAAACAAAATGTGGCTCAAGTTAAGGAAATCTAATAATAATTAAAAAAAGAAAACAAAGTTAACAAAACCAATTATTTTGTGCACATCACTGGTCATCTGCATAGCTTAATGAAGCATGGCCCTCACAAGAGTGGGAGCCTTGGGAGCACTAGCTTTAAAGTTCTATTATCAGAATGGAGTACAACTTTTATGGCACCCATTTCTTAAGCTCTGACTCCCATATGTGATAAATTTTAATTAATCAAAATTCAACTAACAAGAACTTCTCATTTTTCTCTTTAGAAGAAAAGGGAGGAGGGAAGGAGAGAGAGTAACAAAGAGAAAGAGGGAGAGAAAGATGGGGGAGGGAGGAAGGAGGCAAGGATAAAACAGGATGGGGGTGGGGAGGAGAGAAATAAAACCAAAACCTGGATTTTCACCAACAACTGAACTTCCAGGCAATGGTCCTGGTAATATTTAGAGCAATCAATACTACATCTATACCTTCAGTCAATTGATATTCTTTTACCTCAAGATATTGTTGGATCCTAAATAATGACATATTAAATTATGTCCCACATGATTGTTGATAGTTGAAAATGAACTAAAACTTTTAGGTTCCATGTAATCATTTGAATCTCTAGATATAAAAATTAACCAAAGGTTTAAGTGATATGAAGAGCTAGGCATAGCACATATCCAACAAAGACAGAATGGGCTTTAAATTCTCACTATTAGAAGCGCCTGGGTGATTCAGTAGGTTAAGCATCCAACTCTTGGTTTCAGCTCAAGTCATGATCTCATGGCTCATGAGTTTGAGCCCCATGTTGGGCCCCGTGCTGATGGTGTGAAGCCTGCTTGGGATTCTCTCTCTCCCCCTCTCTGCCCCTCCCCTGCTCTCTCTCTCTCTCTCTCTCTCAAAATAAATTTTTAAAAAACCCTTAAAGTCTCATTATAAAGGGACTATTAGAAATATCATTGCACTCAAATTTTTCCTAGATTCCAATAAAGCAAAAAGGAGATATAAAAGTGAGCAGATTGTCTTATCCTGCCTCTAAATGCTTCCAGATCTGTTTCTATTTTGAAATATATTTTTAATGTACCTTGTCAAAAGAGGTAAAAAGTCTAGTCCAATAAGTAAAATTAGATATTCTCCTATCTGCCAGGTTCTCTAGAGCAAAAGTAAAATGGGCCAACAAAACAGTTCACAGGAACTAAGCTTTAGCTTTGATTTTAACCAAATTCAGGTTTTATGCATTTTTGTGATTCCCAGGGGTCACAGTGCATCACATACCTTTTCACTGTAGGTCTAGAAAAAAAATGCTATAGTGAATGCGTCTGGAATGCAAAAAGTTAACTTTTATCCTTCCATTTATTCATTTACTTAAGAAACAGTTTGTATAAGATACTATGTGAGCTCAGCTCAAGGGATGGGGCATTTAGGAAATGATTTAAGAAATTTAGGTATTTCAGAAAACACAAGTTACAAAGCTGATGGTGTGGAGCTTAGTTACAAAGTCTTCATTTTACAAATGCAGAACTAAGACACCAGAATGGCTAAAGTGTCTCTAATTACTCTTTATCTCATTGCCCAGTTTTATCTTCCTCACAGCACTTATTACTATCTAAACTTACATACGTTATATTTGTATGTATGAACATATGTATGTATGTATTTTCTGGCTCCTATACTAGAATATAAGCAACCTGGAAGTAGGCATCTTTACTTTCATTCCTTACCCTACTTTAACAGTAGATACTTAAACAGTATGGTTAAATGAATACATAAAACTATAGAAAAATGAGAAAAACTGAAACATTTCACTGGGACTCATGAAAGTCTAGAATGAGTAGGGCCTTTTACTCCAAAAAATGATCACATTTGAGTTGAATGATGTACTGGAACCCAACTACCAAGGAAAAGGTGAGTTGGTATGAAGTAAACATTTCTTTAAATAGAAGATAACAAATTAACTTAGTCAGGCATACCAGATCAGATATAAAAGCAGACGAGTATTATAAAAATATTTATTTCTTCCCAAATCAATGTCTGGGAAATGTCTTCAATTCATACCATCTATTAGAATACTAACTAAAAACTCTTTATTCGAGCTAGGATTGATTTGTTACATATCTATTATTAAGTAAATTTATACTGAAACCTCAGAGATATTTTTAAAAATTGGCAGCATGCATCTTAAGTTACCTATGAAAAATGACTTTTATAAAAATTCCACCTGAAGACTTTTTTATTATTTAAATTTTAGTTAACATACAGTCCACCTAAAGTTTTAATAATATATGAATACTAACTCTAATTTTAATAAAAAAAGTTCCTCTATTCAGATTATTTTGTAGCAAGTACAATGGTAATGAGTATTTAAATCTAAGCTCTCTTGGAAAAGGTTAGTTTAAAATAAAGAAAACCAATATAATTAACCATCTTCTTTGCCTTTCCTCTTCATCTTTAGAAGCCAGTAGTTTATAATAAGCAAATAGAAATAAATGAAGCTACCAGACAAAGAAACATAAGCAGCAAGATTCTTGGCATCCCGTGTCTCAAAAATATTTCTTCACTCTAATGATGTCCATTCATTTATTCATAAAACTTTTTAGTCAGCACCTATAATAACATCCCAAGCTCCTTGCTAAGGATTAGAAGAAGTTATCAGAAATATTTATATTTGAAGAGATAAAAACTGAAAAATATTTCTTGGACTTCCAGTAAATGTGAAATGTTACAAAATTTTTCAAAAAAATGTTTCAACTTACATTTTGTTCCTCTGGTTCTAATTTGGGGATTTTGTGTGACTTGCGCTCTTCAGATCTTGATGAGTCATGCTTGTTGCTTTTTTTCCTCTTTTCCTTTCTGCTTTCATGCTTTGATTTTGTGTGCTCACTTGCCTGTACTTCATTTAAAAGGTCTCCACAAAGGGAAGACTCAAACAATTCCCTGCCATTCTGGATAGTTTTGGTTATTTTTAGTTTAATTTCAGGTGAGCCAGTCTTCTTTGGAATCACAGTTTGTGGTACCGAAGGAGGAGGTGGTGGCTGTGGAGGAGAAGGTTTTTCCAGAATTTCATGTGGTCTTGTGTTTGGAATTTCTGAATGGTAATAGTCAGTGGGGCTAAAGTTTCTAACTGCACCAAAGCCATTGGCTGACCCATTGGGATACTGATTATATGACTGGTATTTGGTTTGAGTTTCATACATGCTGATGGATGGTGGATAGCCATTTGTGAGTGGAGGAAGATCTTCTGTTGTAGGTGGGTACTGAAAGCCTTGCTGCAAGGTAGCTTCATATGGTGTCTGGCCACCATCTTCAACAATGTCACTGTTGTTATCAAAGGCATCCTCCTGACGGATGTTGGCGGAGTCAATGAGTTGAGGTGGTTGCTGAATTGTGTTTCCCATGATCCCTTGCATGAAAGAGAAAGAGAAATCCATTGTTCTGCTCCAGCATCCTTAACTTTCCCTTTCTCTCATCGGGCCTAAAGTTTTAAAAGAGGAGATTAAAAGGTGTTAATATTCTCCCAGGCTAGAATCTTATCAACTGAAAAAAATAATTCACTAAAACATCTTGTACTCAACTGCCATATCCAGATATACACAAGCACTAAAGATTTTTAAAACAGGTAGCCAATATAATTCTGATACAGGCAAATGCCTTTTGCCTTAAATGCTTATCTGTTTGAAACTCTCAATTACTTTCACAATCTCAGTAACAAAATTTTATCCTCTTAGCAAACATCCAAAATAGTTTTGCATTCCTTTCATAAAGTTTGACAAGTCCACATCTTGAGACAGGATTAATGGACAATTCAGATTATTATTTTGATAGTCCCATAAACATTTCTTCTAGAAAGCTCTAAGGCAGAGAGGATTTCTATATGTATTGAGTCTGATGAACTGATTTTAGCTGCCTGAAATATTGTGAAGAAGCATTCTGGGGCTATAGTCCAGTTCAATTCTATGACCAATTAATAATATCTACCATCTTGATTGTAGTAGGACTTGCCATAATAATAAACCACATAATCCAAAACAGCAAAGGAAGAGGGAAATGATAGCTGACAATACACCTTTCAAGGTATATCCAATTAAACAGGTGCTATTTACTCTGTTAGCAAAAGGAAGAAAATTAGAAGTTCTGTAATTGCAAACAAAGAATAAGAGAGCATAAAGGAAATCAAACCGCCCATACTGCTCTATACCAGTATGGTGGGGGATGGGGGGTATTAGACAACACTCTCATTTTTTAGCATCTACTCTGGGTCAAGAACTTTATACATTATCTCATTTAATCCTCATAACAACTCTGTAGGAGAGGTATTGTGACTGCTGGTTCATAGGCAAAAGAAACCAAGCTTCAGAGGGATTAGGTGGCTTACGGAAACCATAAAGCAAGAGGGAGGGGGGACAGCAGAATTACTATTTAAATCTAAGTAAATCTGACTCTATAGTCCATTATCTTTACCATCACACCCTTCCACTTCCCTCAGTTTTAAGTTCTGAGAGGATTAGAATCTTTCGTTTGCGTACTTTATTCCTTGATCACTGCCAAAATAACAACTAACTGTTCTATACTAACCACCACTAACACTTAAATAGCACTTATTATGTGCCAGGAACCATTCTAAGTGCTTTCCATACAGTACTACATTCAATCCTCCCAATAACCTTCAGGTTCGTTCCCATTACAGCTAGGGAAAGAGAGGCAGAGAGAGGTTAAATGATGTGTTCAAGTGCACAAGGCTAGTCATTAATTGACAGAGTTGTGATTTGATCTAGGTAGTCTGGTTTCAGAGTCGCTGATGCTAACCAGCATACCATACTGATAATGCTGATAAATGTTAGGAATCACTTCTTTACACATAGCTGAAGAAAACTGAAACATTACCCTAAGGTGACCCTTGGTAAAAATGTACAGCTCACAGACATAAGAATGGTATGTTCTAAAATTCTGTAAACATACATGGGGCAACCATACAGGTGGAATTCAAAAGTTCTTCAAACTTCCATCTTGAAGTCAAGTTAAATACTGACATTTGACAAGATGCAATCTCTGTTTTTGGTTCTTGTAACCATCACATACAAGATCAGCTTCCAGATTAGTCTCCCAAATTATAGTCTACAGAGGTTTTCAGCCATATGTATTCAGAGACCAAGGTTACGGATGTTTCTGATTTAGTTCCAAACAGAAACTTTTAAGAAGTTTGGTATCTTCTCCTTTTCTTCTCTAGTCTCGAGCCAAGTATTTCATTTTAATTTGAATTAAGAAAAGAAATAACATTGTCATCTTACAATTATATAGGAGTTTACAATTACAGTGTATTTTCATAAGCATTCTTATTTGATCCTCAAAGCAATCCTATAGGGCTAACAGGGCAGGTATTAGCTTCATTTTTTTTTAGATAACTACATTTAATATTTGAGATGCTAAATTTTCCAAGACCATAAAGGTCATTAGTGATTAAATCTAATAAAGAATCAATCTTTTGACTTCTAATCCTACAGTCTTTACCACAATATCTAACTGCCAGAGAATATCCACCTACCCAGACAACCACACTATAAGAAGAGTTATACATTCAAAACTGAATGAATTGTCCTTTCCCTAACTCAGTTTTCCTTTCAGATTACACCAGATTTGTCATTGCTTCCACTACTTTTCTAGCTTCCCAGGCTCAAAGCCTCACTCACATGGGAGGCTGATTCTTCCCCTCCCCCACCCCCCCACCCCCCACTGCTGTTAAGGCATAAAATGAGGCATTGAACAAATCTTGTAGTTTCTTCCACTGAAATCTGTGATTTGTTCTTTGATCTCTACATCCATGTCAGACCAGGCCCTCAGCACCTTAATCTTCAACTATGACAACTGATTTTCTAGATATTTCTCATCTTTAACTTCTTCCTACATAGCATTTAGAAGATGTGTTCTTAAACCAAACTTAGATAAATCTATTCCCATACTAAGAACTCTAAGGCTCCATATTATACCAAGGCCTTCTGAGGTCTCCATAATCTGACTTTCCTACCAACTCAAATTTTATATGCATGAATAAGCTTTTCTGAGCATCCACTGGTCCAAATAACTATAAAATGTGGCCTTGCTCACATATTACACTTTGTTTAACCCTACACTTGATCTTAGCCAAAAGACCTAGAAGCGATACACTTTGTTTAACCCTATGAAGCAAAGTATTATTCCCATTTTACAGATGTAAAGAAATGGCTCTCAAAAAGGTCAAGTGGTTTGCCCTTAATCACACAAACGGCTAACAGAAGTTGAACAAAACGGCAAACTTCAAACCTTCTTACTTAATATAGTACTCTTTACATGACAGCTGCCCCATAATCTGCAAATTATCCCTATTTTACACTTTTTTCCAATATGCTCCATAGCCACAATCCAAATGCATGTCTGAGAGCTTCCCTCATACATTACAAACATTTTAAAAGACCTAATAATGAACTAAGTTTTTATTCTACTTGAACGACACTCCAGTCCTTCCTATGGGGGGGGGGGGGGGGGGAAAAAAACCCCCCTCTATCAGTTGCCCAAACCAGAAACCTGGGACTATGATACATCCCTTATCCTCATTCCTGTTCTTACCCAGTGTATCATTAAACTCCCTGCGTGTTATCTCCAAAATATACATTTCATATTTGTCTACTTCATTCCATATCTTTTCTTCTTCATGCTAGTCCAAGCTCCTCACTCTGTCTATTCC